GGGGGGGGGGGTGTATGCTGCTTGTTCGGATCGAGGGAGTAGGATGGGGTGGATGCCTGGGTGAGTTTGGATGATTTTTCTTTTTTGACCTTGAGGGGGGTTGGGTTGTTGGGGGTTTTTGTTTTGGGGGGTTTTTGGGGAGTGTGTAGGGGGTTTGGGTAGAGTTTTGGTTTCGTTGGAGTGAAGTTTTTCTTTCCTCTCTTTTTTATGAAGCGTGAGATGATTGGTTATCTTCTTACTAGTAATTCCCAAGATCTACATGTAAATTAGGGAATAAAAAGAACCACCATCCCACCCCCAAATGGCCCCCTTTAAAAAACCCCATTCAACTTATACCTAAACCCCACTAACACCCCCCAGCAACAACAACTTCAACACCACCTTCCGCTCAAAAACAGACCACATCTCCATCCTCAACATCGACACCCCAGGTGCAGACGGTCTGTACAACATCCGACCCCTCCCCATCCCCACAACCTACCAATCCGCATCCCACAACCAAGAAATCGACGTCCACGCCATCTCTCTCTATGCCCTCCCCGCAAAGGGGAATGAGCCTGCTAAGTTGAGACTGATGATTAATAACCATCGGCCGCCTGTCTATGTTGATGGTGGTGGGGATGTTGCGAAGTATGGTGCGAACTCGACGATTGAGGTTTTTGAGTTGCGGAGGGGGAGTGAGGTGTTGGAGTTTGTGAGGACGATTTGGAGTCCGGAGGTGCTTGTTACGCCGAATAATTTGGTGGATTTGGGGGATGGAGAAGGGGGTGGGGTGTTGGTTACTAATGATCATAGTAGGAAGGTTGGGAAGGTATGTCGTTTCTCTCTCTTTTTCTCTTTCTTTCTAGTTGAGGGGTGGTAAAAGGATATAGAGCGTGAGACTAATGAAGTATTTTAAATATAACAGATGCGAGCTCTAGAAATGTTCTGGGGTGGTGGTAGTATCGCATATGTCAGTCATCCCATCCCCCCATCACCCCATATCCTTCCATAACCCCCTATAAACCTAACACCCCCAGTGTCCTAACCACCAAACCCCCTGCCACATCGCCACCCCCTCCACCACATTCAACTTCCCCAACGGCATCACGCAAGACCCAGAAGGACTCATCTACGTCGCCAACTCCGGAACAGGAACCATCACCGTCCTCTCTCTCAACACGACAACCCAGATGCTCGACCAGATCCACGAGATTGATATCAAGATGCCGATTGATAACTTGAGAGTCGACTCCCGGTGGGATGTTTATGTGGCGGGGTCCCCGGATGTGGTTGGGTTGGTGAGGAGTAGTTCTAAGATGGAGGGGAGGGATGTGGGGAGTTCGGTTTTTAGGGTTAGGATGGTGGGTGAGGAGGGGGTGAGGAGGTGGGAGGTATGTTTGTTTTTGTTTCTGCTTTTTTTCGGGGGGTTAAGGAGAAGAGAGAGGGATGNATGGTGGGTGAGGAGGGGGTGAGGAGGTGGGAGGTATGTTTGTTTTTGTTTCTGCTTTTTTTCGGGGGGTTAAGGAGAAGAGAGAGGGATGAGTGTGAATGATTGCTGATGTGAATAGGTTGTGAAGGTTTTGGAGGATGTGGAGGGGAAGATCTTACCTGCTTCCACGGTTGTAGCTCATGATGCTAAAACAGGGAATCTTTGGTTAGGGAGTGTTGCGAGTTCGTTTATTACTGTTTGTGAAAAGATCTAGATTTCTTCGAACCTTGAATGTAAAATAGCTGGAGAGGAATTCCCAACTCATTCCGCGTCCCTGTGTGTATAAGGATTGGTGTCTTTACTTTTTCCATTCAGCGTAGTAAGATAGAAGCGAGGTACAAGATAGTTTTAACGTAATGAAATTCTAATCAAAATCTCTGATGGCTTGTTCTATGCATCTTTTTTACCGAACGATAAGCGCTTGATTCATACGAATTTGATTTACACTCTTGTTACTCCTCTGTATATACGAGTAACAAATACCTATAAGAATATCTATAAATCACTTACACACACACATAAAATACTATACACCCAAATCCATCCATCTACCACCATCTCACCACCGTAGTCTTCAACAACCATATATTCACAAAACTCCATCACCCACCCAACCAAGACATCATACCATCCAAATTGTACATCCAATAAACCAACCAATCAAGCAATCTACAAAAATCTAATCCTCGTATCGAAAAAGGAATAACGTTACTGGCTGCCTCATCCACGCCAAGACCTCTCGGCAAGGGAAGCGACAGTGTGGAAACCAGTTTATGTTCTGCAGATAAGCGAGAGCAAGACAAGCACGCAAGCAAGCAAGCGGTACAAGCATCCCAGATCAAGATTCCTCCATAGAAAATCTAGCCTTCGACGTCATGAGTAGTGAATAACAAGCTAGATACCAAATAGCAAATACCAAAGCATTTAAGAAAGTGGACATCCTCGTAATCCACCCACCAAAACTACTCTCTCAAAACAACCTCGCGAACCAAACATACGTACAAACAAACCTTTGATAATACACCAACTACCACACAATCACGAGGAAATAACTACAATCATGCTAGCGCTAACCAACTACACCCTCGCCGCCATCGCAACAACAACCCTCGCCCTCCTCCTCGCAGCCGCCTACCTCTCCGGCGCCCTCGATCCTGTCATCAAAGAGGTGGGCATCATGTTCTTCAAGGCGAAGGCCGAGACGGAGGCGAAGAAGTTGCAGGCGCAGGGCTGGAAGCAAGGAGAGGATTTTACGAAAGGTGTGTGTGTTACCACTCTCTTCATTTTATTTACTTTTTTTTTGCTCTTGTTTTACTTTTCGTGTTATTGGGAAAGTTACCAGGTAACATTACGAGTGTGGGTTGTTTGTGAGTGATGTGATGAGAGTTGTGAGGAAGGTGTGGTGTGGTGTGGTTGCGTGGTGAATTGTGTGTTAGTGTGATGGATGAGTGCTGATGTGTGTGAATGGATAGGTCAGCTCGAGGGTAATAAACAGGCTGCTGATGTTGCGGAGGGCTTTGGGAAGATGGGTGCTGGAGTGGGGGGATTGAAGGTTGGATTGTAGAAGTTGGGATGAAGAGTGTGCGGTCCCGGATTGTGAGATGAGATGACAGGTCGTAATGGGGAAGAAGAGACGAAATGTACTCGTACGAAATACGAAGGTTTGTTGGAGATGGGATGGAGACGTGGAACGTGATTGCGGGGAAATGGAAGATTATTTTATTCTTCTTTCCCACGAGGCTTTGGCTTTGGCTTTGGCTTTGGCTTTGGGGCTTGGACTTGCGGCTTGACGATGCGTAATCTACTGTATGCACCAGGATAGGGGGTTGTGCAAAAAGGGGGTCGGTGGCTGGCGCCCTGGCTTGATGAGGAAGGAATCTGGTAGCCGCATCAATCGACGGAATATTAATTGTTGATCATCTACCATCTGAATATCACTTTCCATACCGAGTCCGTGAACGTATCCCGTACTTGAGTACGGTACATTATAATAGCTGGATGGACAGTACGGACAGTACGGAACTGATGTATGGCAGGTGATGGAAAGGGACCTCAGCGGCACCACGGAAAACTCTCTCAAGCAGGAACCAGCGGGGCATTTGGTGACGCTGTCAGGGCAACACAAGAGCGTGCGGGAGCGTGGGATTACTTACTTTGATAGAATCAGGTGTGGTGCCAATGCGGGCAGAAAGCAAATGACATCAGGGGGTTCAGGGTACCATCAGCAGCAGCGAGAAAGCCAGTGTTGATGACCAGCTCATGCCTCACGGTACGCATACGCCCGGGGTTTAGCTTGAAAACCATCCTTGACTACACTAAAGTACCCATGACTATGCTGCAGCTAGAGTACTTTAGCAAACCAACCAATCTACGGCACCACCAAGCCAATCTACAGCCAGCTAGGCAATAATCTGGTTAGGTCCCTGGCTTTGACACCGGTACGAGTATTTTCCTCGTCCTTTTCACCGGCCGACAGCCTTACCAATATTTGCCATGCAGTGCAGGCAGGTCTTAGCGGAAAGGTAGAGTCAATTTAAGTCGGCAAGTGGGCAAGTGGGCAAGGCAAGGGGACAAGGCGAGTGGGCAAGTACAAAGTACGAAGTAGGTAGATTTACAGGTACCAGTAGGGTATGTAGCCAGGCTACTGACCTACTACTGCAACTGCTAAGAAATCCATCCATCCATCCATTTCCCATTTTCTCTTTCGCATTGCACTGCTATTGTTGATTTCCACTCCCACTCTCACTCCACCTCTCTCCTCCTTTGTTCTGCCACTTCCGCTATAATGAGCCCATTCACATCATTCACACTACCTTTCCTCTTACTTTCACTGTTTTCTTGAATCTCTCGGCCCCTGGGCGCAATTACATTACACACCACCTCCCTACGCGACTCGACAACTCGGAATCAACGGGACGGAAGTGAGCTCTCGCTCGCCGCTTCCGCCTGCGCCTTCGCCTTGCGCATACTGTCGTATTCAATCGCATCGCATCGCATCGCATCGCTATTACTCTCCTCTCCTCCCCCTCCCTCCCCTCCACCCGAACAAACCATCAGCAGTTCCCGCCAACAGGCTGAATTCTTCATTGAATGAGCCGCCAAAATGCAGAGGGTCACCTCAATGCTGCCATCCTGGGATAGGACCAAGACCGGAGGCAAGAAGGGTTTTGATAAGGCCTGGACTTGGGCCGATAAACGTGAGTCCACCAAGACCCGAGGATGGTACTCCGTGACGTGGGGATCAACAATGCCCGGAAGCTGACATCAAAGGTCTAGTTGGTGCTCCCGTAAACAGACTGTCCAACAAAATCGGTTCAGAAGCATTTTGGCCGACCACTCTCGACAAAGAATCCGACAAGGCTGCGAGAATCCTGAGATCGTTTTGCAGTAGGTTTTACAAATACCTCGACTTTTCGGCATCCAGCTACTGATGTGATCGACAGAAGATGGCTTTTATGCCGAGGAGGATCGACTGGTGGCGGCAGACACCCCACGAGGGAAACAAAGAGTCTTGAAAAAGATTCCTCAAAAGGTCATAGAAGATGCCGTTGGGCTGGCTATTTTTACCACAATGAGAACCGGATTATGGGTGTCGGGAGCTGGCGGTTCAGGTATTCTTCTCGCAAGAAAAGAGGACGGAGAATGGTCCCCTCCTTCTGGCATATTACTACATACCGCAGGTTTGGGGTTTCTCGTCGGCGTCGATATCTACGATTGTGTGGTGGTGATCAATAATCGCAAGGCACTTGAGGCATTTACCAAAATTCGAGCAACAATTGGAGGCGAGATCAGTGCGGTTGCCGGTCCTGTGGGGATAGGCGGGGTTCTAGAAAACGACGGAAAGTGGAAGCAAGCCAAGTATGTTTTTACTTTGAATTTGCTCTTCTTGGTTTGCCGACCTATCAGTTTTCATTTTACTGACAAATTACCAGCCGGCCGGTATTTACCTACCTCAAATCAAGAGGCTTTTACGCCGGTGTGCAAGTCGACGGCACAGTCATCATTGAACGAACCGACGAAAATGAACGATTTTACGGTGAACGAATAGGAGTTGCAGATATTCTTGCTGGAAAAGCGCGGCATCCACCATGCGAAATCAAAATGCTCATGGAAACGATAAAGGCAGCGGAGGGGAGAGGAGATGTGGATAGAGAAATCCTTGAAGTTCTCGACGGCCAACCTGCCCCTGGAGATGCCGATGTTGTATCTCCTACCACAGCTAGCGGTCCAACATTTGGCGTACCGGAACCTGACGACCCCGATCCATTTGGCGTTCTGGCTCTCGAGGAAATTGGGCTAGAGATCAAGGAAGCTGGAACCAAAATTCGACCGCACAGCTCCATGTTTGAATTCAATCCAAGTCCGACAAGTCCATTATACGGCAGGTTCCAACACCGTGGAAGTATCGACACACTAGCGACGCATAGCAACAGGGAAAGTTACATGTCTTCACGAAGCAGTCGTCCAAGAACGAGTATAGACAGGTGGACACAAACGACGGAGATGGGGACACAAACTGATTTCGACACACCAGGAACGAGTCCTAATCGCAGCGATCACAACAAAAGAATTGAAGAGGAGGATGAACCATCCATTGTTATACAGGAGCCCGAGGAGATTGATTACACCAAGATAGATCTAGGTCCATACAACCACTTGAACCATAGTCAAGATTTTGACGGAACGACGGTGGACGAAAGCGAAAGCCCTAGAGAAAAGGATGAAAATGAAAGCCCTGGGGAAAAGGATGAAAAAGAGATTCCACTTTCAGTTGATACTAGCTTTGTATCCGACGACGAGGATGAGGATGATCTCGATGATGACGAGGAGCCAATAATATTTGAAGCAGCTTCAGCTCAAGCCACCATCATCACACCACAAGCTATCAAGGCCAAGGGTGGATTGGTTAATATTCCAAAGAGACCACCTCCACCTCCTTTACCACCACGAAATTCCGCCAGAGCAAGCAGGAATCTTACTGTTGATCAGGCATGCGGACGAAGTCCAGTCCCAAGCCCTTTGAGAATGGAATTTGAGGATGTGGACTTGCATGGATCGAGAAGATCTAGTATGGGAAATTTTTCGAATCGTCTTAGTGTTGGCAACATATCGCATAGACTGAGCATGGATAGCAGTATGGGCCGAGTGCAGGAGGAAGCCGTTTTGGAGGATTTAGAGAGAACCGAAACTGTCAAAGCGAACTCTACTGAAGCCATTGAAAGCAAGGTCGAACATGCCACCAAGGAATTAGAGGTCGACCCGCTCGCATCAGCCATTCAGGGTGTACCGGAGTACAAACAGGTTGTCACGGAATTCCAGGATAAGAGCGAGCCATTGAAGGATGTTGCAGCTCCTCAGGAGACGCCAAAGATCGTGGGGGATGTTGAGAGCCCGTCAGTTATACCTGAGGCGGTTGTGGAATCTAAGAAGTGAATGAATATACCAAGATTTCTGGGGGAGGAAACACGAATCAAACATCGTCAGTCATTTTTTTGATACATGAGCGAAAAGCATGTTACAGGGGTTAAGCATATTGAAGAGAGAAATCAGAGGCGTTCCCAACCCCTCGCGTCGGTCCTTTTTCTCGGAAAGGGGGGGACCTGGATGATACGATATTTTTTGGAGAGCGAGGAAGATGAATGATAATATACCATTTTTGTTTCTACGACTGGTTGGTCTCATTTGGATATTGGGGTTGCTTGGGCTGTGTAGATTTGGGATCTTTGGATGGTTGGGAATGGAATGGAATGCCTAGAACTATTTTCCGGATATTTTGGATATTTTGATCTCAAGGCATCGGATCGGTCACTTGTTATGATATGAATGGTACAAACTTAACTTTAACTTTTAGTGGATAATTTTTATAACTATATCTTATCTTTATTTTGTAGGAGGAGAGGAAAGGGGGGAGAGATGGGGGAGCGAAATGGAAGGCCAGGAAGGAAAGGGACGAGGGTTGGCGAAGAAGGGGGTTTAGTTAGTTGGATAGTTGGATAGATGGAATGGTGTTGTTGTGTTATATCATGTATGAATGAATAGATAATATGGATAATATGGATATGAATCTGGATATATTATCATCATTTACCTACGTATAGATATTAGATATAAATATTTTATTCACGTAATCTTATATCTAGGTAGCTATTAGGGTGACAGGGTGTTAATATATCATAGTAGCAGTAGGAGGGTACAGTAAGATTACTTATTATACCAAGAGTCAGGAGTATTCTGGAATACTATACCTACGTGTAAGGTTATTGTTAAGATGATCACTTTTTAGCTTTCAAGGGGGGAATGGAAGGGATTCTATCTATTGGTACTATACTCGTATAATTAAGGGCTAGCCGCTAGCCGCTATGTGACTTGAGCGAGAGCGAGAGTGACAGTAAGAGCGAGAGTAAGGTAAACTCTTATTAGACTATTTGTAGAAGTGTAATATAATATAATATAAGGATTATTCTAGAATAGGTACCCGAGTCGGAGGTTCAGATTGTTTAGTTTACTTTACTTTACTTACGGGTTTAAGCGAGAGAGAGAGGGAATGGAGGGAATGGAAGGTAGTAGAAGAGATCTACTAAACGGTATTATAAAAGCGAATTATTAGTAAGTATAGTATATATACTCATATCCGAGTTCTTAACAAGATTCTAGTTTAGTGTAGACTAGGATAGAATAGACTACTCCCTCCTGATTAAGAAATCTTTATACTATAGGAGGAGTTATTTATTTACTTATTTACTTACGCGAGAGTAAGAGAGATAAAGCTCTGTGGTTGATTAGGGGTTAGTATCCCTTCCAGACGCGAGAGGTATGTGAAAAACGTGTATACTAAAGTGGAGTAAAAGTGTTCACAAATCTAGTACTTTATGTATACGTATGTACTACTAATGCTGTCCTGGATCTATATATAAACCTATATTCCAAGCATTTAAACCTCGTTTGTACCTAGTTCTTGTATCCACTTTGCGTGCACGTTTCTCACATACCCCTCGCGTCTGGAAGGGATAGTAGATTGGTAGCTACTCAGCTAGTAAGTACTAGGTACGAAATACCCGTAGTAGTAATTATAATTCGTGCAAATAACGAAGTAATGGTATAGTACTAAACAACTACCTATCTACCTACCTACCTACCTACCTATGTCGCCCCCTCTACTTCCCTCCACCCTCCAACCCTCCAGCCCACCCTCTCGCCCAAAAAAGCAAAGCAACATGAAAATATAAACCCTCAACTCCAACGCCACATACTCCTACAACCCGACACCAACTCAAACTCAAGACTCAGATACCTAGTTCACAGCAAAAGAGCCGCCCTCTTCATCCTATCCCTCACAACCCCCTCCTCACTCTCCCACCTCCCCAAGAAACCCTTCTGCTGTTCCTTGCCCCCAAATCCCAGCCAGCCACCCACGACCTTCCCCTCATTCGCCTTTCGCTCCTTGCGCTCCGCGGACGCGAGCATACTGACCATGCGATCCCAGTTGCCCACTCCGACATGCAGACACTCTTTACATATCTTCGTGCCCTGTCTATCCAGCTGGGCGTGAGCGAGTTGTTCCTCGGAGACGTCCACCGCTTCGCGCGTCCATGCTAGGGCGTCTTCTTTTGAAGAAACGGATGTTTCCGAGACGTAGAGGATTTCTCCGATGTAGTTCATTATGCCTGCTTCCTGGCAGAGCTCTTCGGGTGTACGGAGGGGAGGGGCGGTACCGTCGACGGGGAGAGGAGGGGGAGGAGGGCGGACGAGGCACATGTGGATGAATTCTTTGATTCTGTGTATAACATCTTTTGGTGGTTGGTGTTTTGGTGGGGATGGAGGAGGTTGAGGAGATGAGCGGCGGGCACGGAGGACGGAGAGGAAGATTGGGAGGGCGAGAGAGAGGTTGGAGTGTGAGGCGTGGTGGATGCCCAGGGCGGTACTGATGCTTATGAGGTTTAGACTGGGTAGTCCTTTTTTGATATCAAGGATTCCAGTTTTGGGGTCGATTATTGCTTTCGATTCCTCTGGTAGGGAAGAACGGGCGATGTCCATGGCCCACGAGTACATTTCCATTGCTGCCTCGGGTGCCTTCTGATAATCCAAAAATGCGGCATGGGCAAGTGCTGCATCCACATACTGTTTCTGTGTGAAGCCTTGCGTGGTGAGAATTCGCATATACCACACTTCCGCTTTATCAAATGCTACCTCTGTATCCTCTTCGTTCGGAGCCGTATAGTGTGAATTCGGCAGCACCGGTTTTGGATCTGGATTCGAGGGCCCAATAACATATTTCTTTGGTGTTATTCGTCCAGTGTTCTTATCACGAACCATATCCTCAATATATTCCGCCCCCTTTGCCGCCCCCATCAAGCAATTATAGTAGCCCCTCCGCCAATCCTCAGATTTCATCGAGACATCGTACCCCGTCTTCCCAATCTCCTCCACCAAGACATCACTTCTCACCAACCCCGCCCCCTCACCATTGGGATCCTCAAGTCTCTTGACCATAATCTCAAATAACTCCCCAACATCAGACCACTCAATAGTATCCTGTGCAGCATTCTCCGGGTCGCATGCCAACATGGCGTGAACAAATTTCTGCCGAGTCCTGTACCTCCACTCCATCGGGGGATTGTATTTGCGTTCCCACACCTCGTCTGCCACTGTGTTCAACATTATAAACGCCATACACGCGATTCCCATCACTCCAAAGCTCAGCTTGAGACCGAGTTTGACATCGCGCTTGTACCGTTCTTTGTTCTCGGTGGTGAAGAAGCGGGCGGCTGCTGGACGACGACGCAATGGAGCGAGGAATTGTAGAGTCGGTCTGGGTTTTATTGTGTTGTGGGTAAAGAGACGGGGGGAATTGGGTGGGCGGAAGGGTCGGAGACGGAGTATCCTGCTGATTGGGAGTCGGGGACGCATTTTGGAGTTGAGGGGTGATTTTGGATAGCTGTGATAGATAGCTTTGATAGTGTGGTTGTTGTTGAGGTGGAGAAATTGGTGCCTTTTTTGCCGCAAATATGAGGCTGAAGGTCGAAATTCCCCGGACTTTCTCCAGCCAATTGAACAATGACAATTGCTAACTTTTCATCAACTATTAGAAAACCCATATTCCCGTATGAAAAAATACCAAGTTTCTCTATATCGTCTCTTTCTGTTTTCACAGTAGCATATAATCTCTATGTCTACCAAGGCACTGGCAATTTCTGTTTACGAACAGCTGTTTGTACCACAATGGTATGACAGACCCGGTACATAAAACTCCCACATCTCATGACCAAGAAGGGAAGTACGGGAGACAAGTACCTATCTGTAGACGGATAATAACCGAGTTTACTACATCATTGCTAAAAATCAAAAAGAGATACGTACCTAGTTCACGCCAACCATTCTAAACTGACAAACCATAGATGTGGAAGAGGAAAGGATCCATGACCTTTTATCAGAGACGACAAACAATGTCAGTCATCTAACCGTGAGACACATTATTAAATTAAATGTGTGAATACCAGATCTCTTATGACACTTCTAGAAGACTGGACTCCTAGGATCTGGCTCATTTCAACAGAGCATTACAAAGTGATTCCTAGTGATGATCACTTGAGTTCCGAAAGATTGGGTACTGTACTGTAATACCGGAGAATTTGAGCATCTTTCCTCAGGTAAATGGAATATGAGCTATACTATTACCATGAGAATAGGAGAATAGGAGAAAACGAGTACGAGTTTGTAGTTCGTTTTAGAAAGGAGCAATTGTTTGGAAGAAAAACTCCTTTCTGAATCCTGCGGAGAAAAAATATTCCGTATCAGATTTTTTTGAAAGATCACACGGAAATTTTGATCAATTCCATGGGCGTGCGATGGTGAACCGATCCACCTGGCGGCCGGTCAGGTTCATGTTTTTATCGAGAGGGGACTCAGGGGTGGGGTTCGTTAGCCGAGAGATTGGTGGAGGAGCCAAGAGCCTACTCAGGGGCAAGGGTCGAAGTATCAACATGAAACGTAGGTAGGGTGGGATGATCTCCCCCATGTCCAAAATGTATCTGGGAAGTACGGAGTACTGTAAATAATAAAAGTGCTGCAGACTGCTGATTTCTCTCTCTCTCGAGTGCCAGGCATCTGGTTCTTTTCTTGTTGAAATCCACGTCAGCCAAATTGCGGTTAGAGTAGCTGATGGGCGCGGGAGGATTGTGAAGGAGGCAAACACGGCTGACTCCTCGTACGGGTATGTTGGTTAAAGCTGAGAAATGATACTTTTCATGAAGTACCCAGAACCAACAGTAACAGAGCAGCCGAGCAGACAGGCAAGCAGGCTTTCCAGTCGGGTCAGCTGGAATCCGGGGGCGTTTTGGGAAGGTTCTTGATCTTCTCCAAGCCTCGAAGGCCAGGCGCGAGGTGGAATGCGAGAATGAAGTCGGCAGAGTGCAAAGTTTTCGGAGGAAAGGCTGATTCTGTCATCGGTGGTGATATTTTGCAGTGCGCTGCAGAAGTGTCCACTGTGATACTTTTGCGATGGGACATCTGCCATCCAGCGTGCTCAGAAATGTGCTCTCTGAGCCTCTCTCCGTGCAAGGTGTGCGTATTTCCCAGGCCATCTGCAAGGTACTCGATCGGGTCTGCGGCTGCGGGGAGGGTTCGATGGCGTAGGTACTAGCGTGTTTCTGCTTGAGCCCCTTCACTAGTTGACAGGCACCTGCTTGGCTGTGAGTGGGTAAAGACGCAGGCACCGTCACGAGTGGACGGGGGAGAAAAACGCGGTGGCTGCAGTGGCTGGACTTTCTCTGGCCGTCGACGCCCTTAGGGTTGCACTCCCGATCGGCTTCTTTTTCCATACTACGTAACTACGAGGTGCGTAGTAGCTCGGGTAGGGGTAGTCTAGGGGTAGTCTAGGGGTAGTCCCAGCCGAGAGAGGGCTCAGAGGTAGTCCCAGCCGAGAGAGGGCTCAGAGGGGCCAGAGGCCACCAGATGGCCAAAGAGAGGAAATCTGGTCGCCATTTGAAATGCGGGTGCCAGGTGGGAGAAGGACGGGGACGAGCCGTGAGATTACTCAGATTAGAGTTGACAAGCCACCCTTTTCCAGTGCTCTACTTCATGTACGGAGGACTGGGTGCATTCGTACTGTTGAGAAGCAATCCAGACCCCACCACCACGCAGCTCATCGCACGCCACGGACCGTCTGGTTGACCGTGAAAGCAGATGAGCCCAATCAAACAGAGCTAGGCCACAATTTCCGAGGGCCCGGTCGACAAACGCTGCATTCTTATGCATAGAGCTCAGGGCAGGCAGAGTGAATATCGATGGTGATTATTCTTGTGACTGTGACGGGGGAGGAAAGTAAATTTACTCCATCGCGAGACTTGGACTGGCGAGCCTCCAAGTCGAACACATTCACTCTTCTCCCGCCTGACAAACACATACGCATCTTTGCGCAGGTTGTGTGTTGTGTTTTGGCTCTATCAGTGGACAGGCAAGTAATTTACAGTAATAAGCTTGCCTCTGAACTCTTAACCACCTGCAACGACGACACTCACACTCGCTCGTCACTTGCTCCGTCCCTACCTACCGATATCACCTATCTTCGCCATCACCACCTCTCCGCCGCGGCACTCTTACGCACACTTTCCCCATCGACAGGCTTGATCGCTGCTTTGTCACCATCACCGTCCGAGAGCTTGAGCTTGAGCTTGACTCTCCCTCAACAGAAGGGCTGGGGACGATTGGTTCCATTGATTGGTATACCAAGTACACCATCGACGACTCCGTACGGTGCGAGAGCAGTACGACCCGTTCTTGTACGATTGCCCAGTTGAACAGACTTCGAAGTAACCTTAACAAGCTTCCAAGTGTCTTCGTCACTCCTCGTAAGAGTGGTTGTGGGGTGGCAAGACGAATCGAGTACACCTACCTGGGTAGGTACTCGAGTAGGTCGGTAGGTACGACTAGACGGCCGCCTGCTGCCCTCGACGGCGCTTTCCTCTTCTGCCTCACCACCACACTCGCGCTTGCGCTTGCGATTGCCATTGCCATTGCCATTGCCATTGCCCTTCTGAGGTTGCCTTACCAAGTACACATCACGCACAGCATCCCGACTTCTATTTCTAATTCTACGACGAAGGCTCTAACTTTAACCCGAGCTCTCTCGTCTCGGCCCTCTCCAATAGGCGGGATCGACGGGGTCAAACAAACTCCCGTCCTCGTCCTCGATACTTCCGTACATTTTTGGCTTCGGCTCAACCGACGTAGTCAACAAAACTACATCGTACAACCCCAACCCCCCACCCAACCATTGGAATCGCGTGTGGACGGCGTGGCTTTGGATTGTCACTTTTCACCGGATTTTTTGATTTTGGGTCGTGTAACTGCAAAGAGACGATCGTTCGTGACAGGACAGAAACAAGGTACGTCGCATGAAGGATTTCTTCAGGGTCAGTACTTTCGAAACACCCAGTGTTCGTGCTTGTATCACAACATCCGACAGCTGGGCAACCTCAGATTCATCACCTCACGGTACACTGTACACCATCACAGGGCACTGTGGACCGTGATAATTCTGGTGGCTTCGGTGACTATTATCAGCGTCTTGGACGACGCATCATCGCGGCTAGGCTCGCCTATCTGCGTTCTGGTGATACCTTCAAACACAATTCCCTCTCCTCTCTTGGCGTGGAGGGCAACGAGAGGAAAGGTATTGGAAACTTCTCTTGAGCTTCTACCCACTCACAAGCCCTACCATCTTCCCAGCCGGTTCACTGCACTATCCATCCTAGCTGCCCTGCAGGCCGGTTTCTCGAATTGGATGGTCTCACTCTTCTCACCTTCCAGCATCTTTTCATTCTACCTTTTTTTTCTTCTTCTTCCCCACACCACCGCATTGTTGATCGAAGGTGGATGTTATTTGGATACTAATACTGCCGGCAGTGAGATTGACGTTGGCCAAAATTGATTGGATTGGAATACACGAGTTGCCACAGCTTCACCTATGTAATGCGACAGCCGCTTTCCAGCATCACATAGACCTCCATCTCATGTCTATTTCTTCGGATCCTAGCGACCGACCACGCTCTTTAGCATACGCACATATCTTTCTCACTTTGGAATTCGACCATTCCGATACCTCTTTTTGAAACTGTCGATGCCCCTTTGCAAATTTTGCGCTGCCATTCATTCGATACGTACATATTACATTTCTGACGACGCTGTGTTTGCTCTCTGGTGTTGGACAGGACTCGACAACGGACACGAAAATTTCATCATACCACGGTTGCCAACATTCAGTAGTGAATCTCTTCATAAGCATCGGCTTCATGCATATGCAAACGCAGACGCAATAAAAAGGGAAAAGGTTCCGACGCGCTGGATTGGTCACGAGGGTCGGGTGATTCACCCTTTTATTTGAACGTTGCCTGCCACGACGAAATTACTTCGCCAACATGAGTGCAGGTGGATCAGTGAGGAGGGCGAGAGAAAGAATGGAGGCAGGAGTGAAGCCAGAGGCTCCGAGAGGGCCACCTCCGCCAATGTTTGACCCCCGACGACAACAGGCGCAAAACCCAACCCGACCGCGACCTCAGATGGCACCAATGGTGAGCTCAAAGGAAAGTGGTAGAAGTATGATAGGAGTAGCAATTTCGAGACCAACACCTGTACCGCAGTGGCCATTGCAGGGTTCAATCGAGCCGCAAGATGTACCACGAGCGCACCAATATCTACCCCCACAGGGTTGGGGACCAGCTCCTCAACGACCTCCTAGACCGAGTCATGTTCCTTCAATGCTCGATGCATCACAATTACAACAACCCACCCCTTCTTTCAACCATCGACCGCCGCTAAATGCGCAAGACCAACCACAAGCTCAATGGCGGGGATTTCCGGAGGACGATTACTATAGTAGTTCACCTGACATGACCTCACCAGTGACACCCTCATCGCGAGTTTCGACGATTTCTTCTGTGGGAACAATACCGGATTTTCCTGTACCGGCAATTCCACCACGAAGGAGTGTTCACCTAGGACCACCGCCAAGTTCGAGGAGAGGAGCTTCTTCTTATTATTCACAAACCTCATTTGTGTCCCCGATTCCAGAAGAGAGTCCAAGGACGGCAACCACACACCGATCGTATGCATCAAGTGCGGCGATACCTTCAAGTTGGGGCTCGGAATATGAGTATGATTCTGAGACTCCCGAAAGAGAGTTTGAGGAGGAACATATGCACGGTCGTGGGGATTCTAGAGACTCAACTACGGAGGATGGTGACGAAAAGGAATTGATCCGAAGCGCGAGTATGGGTAAAAGAGCAAAGCCTGCCATGATTAACACTAAAAGCGCGGAGAAAATGGATCAAGTGCGGCCAGGTCCTCGCCCACAGCAAGACGAGAATTTCGATCGGATGGGCCCAGGTTCAGGGAAATCATTAGGCGTTCCGAGTACTGATCGGGACTCAATGTGGCCTATATCTGCAACTGCATCATCACATGTTTTACCCATGTCAAGAAATCCAAGTAGGGCGCCCGGTGAGATGGGATGGCCAATATCTTCCTCGCTTCTGGCATCATCTTTAGAAACCGTCCCTGGCGTGGCTATTGCAGTAACTACTGACGATACAGTATCGCCAATTTCACCGTCTCAAGAATACCATTTCAAGACTCGTGACATGGCTGGAGCCAACAATCTACAACCTCCAGCAATGGCACCAACATCAAGAACACCAAGTCCTACTACTGGTGGTTTCAGTAGATTATCAGCAATTCGACGACCTCCACGCTTGGACATTGATGCGGTGAGAGATGCTGAGGCCAGAGGTAGTTTGACAAGTTTACCTGATCTGATTCGGAGGGCTACACGATTAGCGGCTATGATTGATCGAGGGAAGAGACCAGGTAGTCGATTGCATGATCTGAACGATTTTCCAATGGACGAAAAGGACTTTGAGCGAGATTTCGGTAAGTTTGAAGTTAACCGTATATGCCCTCTTTGCTAAACAATTATAGCTGTCCGTTCCCCCGAGGACAAGAATAAGCGCCGCTCTGGTCTCTCGGGCATGCTCGCATCAATTCCCTCTCCTGGGATTGTTGGGACCCCTCGAACTGGTACACCCAACGAAACCACCGAGAGAAGACTCTCTGTCTGGCCTCAGGGATATCAAGAGACTGACGGCGACAAATCCGAGGAGAAGGCGCCCAGGAAACGACGATGCTGTGGTTTGCCATGTTGGGGTTTAATGGTCGTTCTCGTAATTATAGCAATCATTCTCGCCGCAGCAATTGTTGTTCCAGTCAAGCTTCTTTCAATAGACAAGACACCTCCACCTCAAGGACAGAACGCAGGCGATCGATGTCAATCAGACCCGGCCACGGCTTGTCAGAATGGTGGTATAAGCATAATAGATAATGGGGCATGTGCATGTGTATGCACGAACGGATTTACTGGTTCGACCTGCAATATTGCCGGAGCTTCTGGTTGCACCACCACAACACTGGGAAGTCTGTCCAACGTCACCTTGGGAGAATCAATTCCACGCCTGATATCAACTGCTCAAACCAATTTCTCTGTCCCACTTGTCGCTGAAACACTTGTCGCTCGGTTCAACAACGCAAATCTTTCCTGCGGCTCGGGGAATGCGCTTGTCACTTTTGATGGCTTATCTTCAAGAGGCGGGAACGCCAATGATGTGGTAGTTCCAATTGCAACTGACACACCTTCGGCCACTCGAAAGGTTCGACGAGGAGGAGGGCCAGGTAGTACACTATACTTGACATATTCTACGCCTACGCATATGCCCCCACACACGTCTACGCCTTCAACTCCACCACCCACTATCGTCGTAAATCCATGGCCAGCTACCACACCGATGCCTACACATAGTAGGCCCCCGCCTAGCACCGAACCATCTACTGCTTTCACCGTTACCGAAGAAGTTCTTGATTTCTCTAGGGTGGCGGTCTTGTATATCATGCAGCAAAAGAATCTGGATAACGCCGTTACTGCACAATCATCAATCCAGAGCTTCATCTCCAAAACAACCTATACCAACCAAGCTGCGATGAATATCGAGCTAGGTAATAACAACACGATCAACTTGGTAGCTTTCACTGTGAATGTTGGGAACGGGGCCGTGGGCAGGAATCGAAGCACTTCTTCAACTTCGTTAACTTCGGTGCAATCGAGACGAAAACGGGATCAAGTAGGCCAGAAAGTCCGGACTGGATGAGAGAAAAACCATAAACGAATCGAGCGAATCACACAAGATGCCGGTTGACCTACCAACGAAAGACTCGATCAGCTCAGACTGACATGAGGCTCCAAATACAAAATACACCTTGTACATTATTCTCCTTGGCATTCTCGCAGATTCATATTTCTCTTTCGTTTACCACGTTGACCTTTGGTTGGCGAGATTTCATTTTTGCGTGCACTTGGTTTTTTTCATTTTTTGCATCATCACCAAAAGCGTCGAAACGGTCGGCCTTGATTTAATTGGCTCTGTGAGAGATTTTTTCCTTTTCCCTTTCAGGCATTGCTTTCATTAATTGAGCGGATACCATTATGAGTTGAACGAAAACCATAATTACTTGTCATTGTATTTCTTTCTCTTTCGGCGGATGTTTTTCTTGCTTTCTTGGGTGAAATGGGGTGGGGTGAGATGGCATATTCATGTGTGGGGAGTGGGAGGAAAGTGGATGTTGATAAAATAGATGCATGGGGAGATGGTGTTTCTGCGGCTTTTGTATGAATATCAGAAAGGGAGGGATTGATGATTTTTGGCCTTTTTTTTTTTTTTTTGGAAGGATTGATGGATGAGTTTGTGGTATGTATAGTGGTGGAGATGATGGAGATATGATACGGTGGGGATAGTATGAGGATGAAATGGGGGGATGAGATACCCGATCGATCATAGTTGTATGTGTATAAGTGAATAGTGGGTAGTGGGTAATTAAGATATCCTATTAAGATGAATGGTTAAGTTTCTTGTGCTTTTTTTTTTGTGTTTTTTTGTTTTTTGTTTTTTGTTTTTTGAAGGGTAGAGGGAGTAGGGAGGTGATTGTGGTGGGCGATGTGGGTGTGTAAGGGAGGTAATGTGAGGAAGGGGTGTGGGTGTGAGGATGTGAGGGAGTGAAAAAGTGAGGAAGTGAAGAAGTGAGGAAGTGAGGATATGAGGATATGGGTATGGGAAAGTGAAGAGTTTAGATAAAAGCTAATGTAAGATTAATAAGCTAAGTAGGATTTATAGGGTAAATAGTACAATGATTACTACTTCTACGTACCTACCTACTTACCTATATAGCTCGGTAAATAAGAGATAGAGAATTAGAAGTTAGAAGACGTAAAAAGAGAAGTAGTCTCGTTTACTTGAGATTCTAGGTATAGTATAGTTCTTTACAAGCTCCGTACTCGTAAAGTCTACTACTATAGTAAGGGTATAGGGGGATAGACAATGTAGTAATACATTAGTAAATATATATAACTTTTTATTTTTTATATAATACATTTAAACCCTTACTAAAATATTATATCTCGAATACTATAGTAAGTAAGGGGTAAGATATAAGATATTGAGATATTAGAGAGCTAGAGAGCTATATAGAGCTATATAGTAAAGGGAGTAGGTAAGGAAGGAAGCGAGTAGCGATAGGAGGAGTTAATGTAAGATTTCTAATTAAGAATTTCAAGGTTTTAGATATAGAGAGTTGGAGTATATGTATAGGATAGCATAGGTCTAGAATGATTTCTGGCCGTAGACTGCGTATCTATACCGGATGGATTAGCTCCTTTTCTATTTATTTAAGAGGTAGTTTCCTCCTTTCTTTTCCTTTCTCTTTTTCGCTTGTTTTTACTTCTCCACTCTCGCAACATACCTGCAGCGAAACGAAAGGTAGGAAGGCTTGAAAAGGGGATGTATGGATGGCAGGTATGTATGAAGGTAGGAGAAACAAGGGCCAAAGGGAATCGAAGGAGATCGAAAGAAGAAGAGAAAGAGAAACAGTACATACATAGGATAATACCCATGGATCTTAGTATTCCTCATATCCTTGCGCACACTAATCAAGAAGACCTCGAGTTCCTCCTGCGACCAGCCCAGTGCGCGGGTGAAGACCGCCATGCTTAGGCCTGAGAGGCCGGTGCTGAAGTTTTCGTGCATCCAGGCGCCTGGGGGTGTGTTAGATGGTGGGAGGGAAGAGAGATGGGGGATCGTGTTTAATTGTTGGGACGCGGGATGTGCGTATCGTGGATTCAAGGGTAGCGATAGAGGCAGCATGTACACAGGGAAGTTTCTCATGTGGAGCTATATGTGAAGAGGGGGAGGGGAGGGGTAGAGAAAAGGGAAAGAAAAAAAATAGATACTTAACGTACCTAACTCCTTCAACTCCTTATCCTTCGGCCATCGGTTCATCGGCCATTTATACCGGATCTCGACCACGTTCATGAACCCGGCATCCTCTAGTTGTCTCTTATAGTTCTTTGCTGAATCGCAAGCCCGTCCGACGACCGTGGTGCCTTCGAGGATGAGATCCGCCCACTTTTTTACCGCGCAGTCGGGTGGGAAGGATGAGTCGTTGTCTTCGATGGGGAATTTGATGTCTTTGATTTCCATCCAGCCGCCGGGGTTGAGGTTACTGAGGGGGAGGGTTAGGTTGGTGCGTTTGTTTGTGGGTTGATGCTTGGTTATTGGGGTTTGTGGGGTAGAGGAAGAGAGGGATGAAGAGAGGGAAGGGTTATGAGAAAGTGACAAGAAGGGAAAGAGGGGAGGACGAACTCGTAACATTGCTTGAAACATTTTGGCCAGTCGACTATGGTGCCGACCATCATGCGCATATTTATAAAATCAAATTTGTATGAGTAAGTCCATGGTTCTTCAATGTCGTCGATTTCGAAATGGCAATTTGGTGGAACGCTATTGAGTTGGTTAGTAAACAAGATACTCTACAGCATTCTGTAAACATGTAGGCGGATGTAAATCATTGCAAAACTGGAGTGGTTGAAAGGGCAGGATAGATCAAGATGGATTGAGCGTACAAGCCTGGTTGTATGGGACTTAAATCAACACCCAAGACCTTGAAAGTGTTAATTTCATTCTATAGACATTTCTGAAGCGGTCGCCAGTCAATGAAATATACATCTGATTCTGGGTGTTCGTCGGCTAGGGAAAAGTTAGTTTTGAAGTCGAGTTAGAATGGTACTGTAAGTGAAATCTGACCGAAATCAATTGCCCAAATACCCGTTCCGGTTCCTAAATCTAGGACCCGATGTAGTTTCTGATCTTCGGGTATTGGAGCGATATATAATTTTCCTTTCAAGGTTAGGTAGTACATATGATGCTGTAGATCTTTGATAAGATTAGAACGGGATTCCATTTCTTCACGTGGGACAAACATACCTAGACGGTCATTTTCACCCTGCAAGTTATTAGCTCCACTCGCTTGTCTAAAAATATCATTTCCTTTTTTGTAAGAAAAGGTTATGGGCTCAACTCTGACCTCGTCGTTTGGTAAAAGGTATTCTGGAATCATGTTAGGCAAGAGCAAGAAGAGGGAAAGGGGTCGTGATCCTACTCCCGTCCTTGTAAGCATGGTATGTTCGACCATTTTCTTGTCGATACCTGAGAATACTTGAACCTATTGAATTAGTGGTAGAACCCCAATTTCCTTGATCGTCTTCCTGGCGAGAGCTCGTTAGTTCTCATGTTGTCAAACGGAAGGCAATCCTAGGTACTCCAAATGCCGAATCCCCATCATCGTTAATATCGTCAACCACCTGCAAGGGATGAATCAGCGCCTCGATGCGGTGTAACTAATGTAGGTACCACTACTCACTTCGGGCGCAGCTGCGCTATGTGGTGGAACCGAGTCACTCATGATGCAAAAAGAGTGTGCGATGTGAAGATTCGATTTCGGTTGCCAAACGTCTGTCTATATCGGGATTTTTGGCGAACTCTGATGAGAGGTGCAGGTGTGGAAAAAATCACAACACAACACATGATGCGGGGATGCTCTCCAGATAATGTTGGGTTTTTTTAACATTGCATCGGCCGACCACGGCACATAGAGGCCTGGCAAAACATCGCCAGTTCATCGCAGGCTCACACTAGCATCATTCCATTTTTCCGGGGCTCGTCTGGATGCATTCTGATTGATCGTAGGGGATGCACTCCATACTTTAGCAATTGAATGCGAGTCGAGAATTCGATGGCTTCAGGCTCTTGGCTCGCCAGTGTAATGTACCCAAGTATGGAGTACGGTCGTCGAAGTAGCTGACTGGTGCGACACGCCTTCCGGGCCCTGTCAGGCGGGTCGTGCCGGGCAGATGTGGTGTAGTGTTGCAACTGCAACGGTGTTGGTGGCACATTTTTGCCGCGGTGACAGCGCTTATTGGGCAACTTGTAAGATCTTACTGTCAATCCCACCACACCACCTCACAAATGTACCGAGTACTCCGTGGGTAGCAAGTGTCAGCATTATTTCTATATACAATACTTCGTACTTCGTGCTTCATGCTCGCGATGAAAGAGCAGTGATAAGAAGATGGAAAATCTATCACTGTTTCCTCAGGCTGCAAAAGTAGGCCTAGGAAGTAATCTTACGGAGTACCGAGGTCCGATTACAGTACATACACCAAGGTCGTAGGGACAGCGGCGGGCATGCCGGATGGCAGTTCAGTACTGGTACCCTGTACCCATCCGTTACTTCATGAAGAAATACAAAAACAAGTGGAGCTAGCGGCCTTAAGGTGGTGGAAATGGATGGCTGCCATCAAGCCAGTGCCCCACGAAACTCTAGCCAGGGACCATTCAGGCTCTAGGCCTCCGCACCAGCACAGCACTGATCACCTCTGCCGACATCGAGTACCACATTTAATATTGGCAAGAGTGGGCTAAGTGGACAAAGTCGACATTTTTCGCCTACGGGGGCTCTTCAGTACCGGAAATGTCATGGCATGGCATCATGGCGGAGAACATCGCCATCTGGGAGAGATCATGGCTCTCGGTTCGAACCGAGGATCGAGGTGCCAAGTACCCCAATCAATGGTAGACTCTACTCGAGTAGTGCCTACGAGTACTCGAGTACACTATCGGGACATGAGCAGAGTGTGATTTATTCATCCTCGACCTTTACATTCTTCCACCAATCCACCACCGACAAATAAGCTCACCATTATGGGACATTACCGCTGCATACCCATCCTAACCACTTACTACTGCAGTCCATATATTACAGTTTTCAGAACGCAGTAAGCTCTTACACAGTGCCCCGTACAGAGTATCCATACGGTAGCGGTAACATCGGAATTGCACAATGGACGTCCCATCTCTCCTTCCCAACGTGGGCAATTCCAGTTGGTTCCTGTGTGTCCTGGCCCCGTTGCTGACATTGTACCTCATCTCAACATTTCGAGCATGGTACCGCCTTAGACAATTCAAGGGTCCTACACTTGCCGGTCTGACGCGCGTATGGCTGGCCCGTCGTGTATGGGGAGGGAGGATGCACTTGGATTTCCATGAAGTCAATCAAAAATATGGTAAGTCTATCATCCATCGCTTAACCTGGCAGCACAGTAGAATTACTAATAATTGACTGGCGATAGGTTCATTGGCAAGAGTTGGTCCAAATGATCTTGTGACCTGTGATCCGGCTGTGATGCGCCGGATGCTAGCAGTGAGATCTCCATATCGTCGTTCCGAATGGTATATTGGAGTTCGATTCGACCCTGATCAGGATAGTGTTGCTTCAACTCGAGATGAAGAGCGTCATTTGGAGTTGAGGGCCATTATGGCTGCTGGTGTAAGTCATGAGAGTATTCAAGTTTCTCCTCTCCCAAAATGTTGACATATGGCAGTACGCAGGGAAAGGCAATAACGACTTGGAAGGCACCATAGATAAAAATATTGCAAGTTTTGTAAATCTCATCCGGACCAAATATCTATCGACCAACACGGAAAACAAGCCCCTGGACTTTGGGAGAAAAGTACAATATTTCACCCTGGATGTGATCTCGGATCTTGCCTATCGAGAACCTTTTGGATACCTCGATGCTGATGTTGATTTGCACGGCTACATTCAGGAGGTGGAAAAGGTCTTTGCTTCGGGTTTGATGGTTACGATTTTTCCATGGCTGAACTGGGTTTTGAGATTGAGTATTCTCAAAGCTGCCCTCCCTTCAGACAAGGATCCTCTTGGCCTGGGAAAGATTCTTGGGTAAGAGTCGCTTACTTCTTTCTGGATGAATTGATCAACTGACTTGCTCATCAGTATCACAAAAGATGTTGTCGCTCAGCGTTTTGGCTCTGAGAAGAAGGTTCAGCGTGATATGTTGGGTTCTTTTATCGCTCATGGACTTACTCAGAGAGAAGCCGAAGCAGAAACGATTTTGCAAATGTAAGATACTTACCTGGATCCATATTTGAGGGAATATCTTCATCCACCTCTCTTCCTCTCCTTCCCATCTATTTTCAAGAGGGACCCCCTTCATCTCATCATCCCAATTTCCAAACATACTAACACACCCCCAGCATGGCCGGCTCAGACACAACCGCCACCGCAATCCGCAGCACCTTCCTCTACATCCTCACCCACCCACACACCCTCCACAAACTCCGCCACGAATTCACCACCGCCTCCCCACCCATCTCCACCCCCATCACCAACCTAGAAGCCCAATCCCTCCCCTACCTCCAAGCCGTCNCCCTCCACAAACTCCGCCACGAATTCACCACCGCCTCCCCACCCATCTCCACCCCCATCACCAACCTAGAAGCCCAATCCCTCCCCTACCTCCAAGCCGTCATCCGAGAAGGCCTGCGCATCTTCCCACCCGTCGTAGGACTCATGTCCAAAGAGCTTCCCCCGGGCGGTGACACCATCAACGGCCTCTTCGTGCCGGGCGGGACAAAGATCGGCTATGGTGCGTATGGGATTTACCGCGACAAGGGGTTCTGGGGCGAGGACGCGGATATCTTCAGGCCGGAGCGGTGGCTGGAGGTGAATGAGGAGAGGAGACGGGAGATGGATGGGTGTTTGCAGTTGATTTTTAGTTTTGGGAAGTATCAGTGTATGGGCCAGAATTTGGCGATGATGGAGTTGAATAAGGTCTTTGTGGAGGTATGTTGTGTTTCTTCCTCCCCCCTTTTTCCCTTTCATGTTAACTTCTCTCGCTTTGGACGCGTGCCAAAAATATGTGATTGAGTGACTAACTGATCTTTGATGACAGCTTCTCCGCAACTTCGACTTCAATATCGTGAACCCCTTGAATCCCATACGATCCATCTGTCACGGAATCTTCTTCCAATCCGAGTTCTGGTTGACTGCTTTCGAGAGGAAGGAGTCTGAGTCATGAGGCAGGCGCTTACTTCTTTACTCTCCCCTTTTATCTGTCCTGTCCCGCAATTTAATGGGTTGGGACGTTGCGTATTTATTTTACTGGTTATCCTCACGGACAGTACCCTTATATTTTTTTACTTTGGAACCTCTGTTTCAGTTTTCGGGTTTGGATAAAAGTCGATTGTTTTTTTTTTTCGTTGGAGGAGAGGGGGTTTTTGACTGTATGTACGTACCTTACGTACCTTGGTGTGGTGATTGGGATCCTTGATTTTGGGACAGAGGGACAGAGGGAAAGAGAGATATACATAATACCCCCATCCTATCTATCTATCTCCTTACTTGTAGATTTACTTGACCTCACCCTTCTCACCCTTCTTACCCACTCCACCATCCAACTCTCACCATCTCACCATCTCACAATCTGTAAAACCTTACATTATATCTAAATTCTTATGAAGTATTTTTCACATTGACAATCCCGATGTTTGTATAGTACTGTAAGTAGGAGGAGATTTATCGAGTTCAGGAATTTTGGGTATTGTGTTATACGATGTTTTATATGATGTTAGTTTTAGTATAGGTGTGGCTTCCCTTACCTTACCTTATCTTACCTTATCTGAGCTACTACACCTCTCTATCTATTTCTTTAATTTGTTCAATTTCCTTAATTTCTTCATCTCTCCATCTTTACATTTCTCGACTTCTTGCCAAATCCAAATCCAAATCCAACTCCACATCCAAGTCCAAATCCTGCACTCTACTGTACGTACAGTAGTAAGCTACTGTACCTGGTAGTGCAGATGTAACAACACCACACTATAGAAATAACTCACCACAAAAATATAGTCGGGCCCGGATCTACCAAGTATATAAACAAGGATATCCTTATAGCGAGTTCCTTAGCATAGGCTATAGTAAGGTTACATATTCAACTATTAGGAATATATAAGCTAGTCACTTATCTCCTACACCGCCCGGCGTAACTCGAAAGTGGGTTAAGGACGTACTATCCTAGGTAGAAGATAACATATAGCTTTGTACTAAGATATGTAACGTCTTATAATATAAATGACAACTTGAGCTAAGCTTTTTACCTAATACTAATTAAGAATTAGTACATAATTATTTATACTACAAGAGAAGTACGAATAGTTTACTCTAATTAAAATTCTAGTCTTATTAGAAATATATACAGTCACGTTCTAGAGCTATAACTCGATATCTCCTTACTAAAAATTAGTATAATTAATAGCTTAGTATTACCAAGGTGTTAGAATTAATCTAAAATTATATGTTATAATAATTCTACGCGAGGGTACTTAATCCTGGTTAAGAGTTACGCCGGGTAGTATAGGAGATATAGGAGTAGTACTCGACGTTTATCGTCCATTCGTTACGTTACAAAAGAGGCTTATTGTTGATTTCTTGTATTACTAGCTAGCTTTAAATACTTAGACTTCTCACATATTATAGACGAATCAGAAGGCTCTATTTAGTATAGTAAAAAGAAGTATTAATATCCTAGGCCTTACTACCTATAAAGGTATATAACTAACTAAAGGCGAGACTTAGCTCGAGGGGTATATAGGCGGGTTAAAAGAGCTAATAATCGTACTATATAGAATAATAAATATAGTATTATTAATAGAGGAGTATACTCGTATATAGGATATTTATCCTACCGAGTTACTTAGTAAGTACTCCCTTATTTATAATAAACTACTACTATTTATTATCTATTCGTTATATTATAAAAGAGGCTTATTATTAATTTCTTATATTACTAGCTAGCTTTAAATGCTTAGACTTCTTATATATTATAGACTCATTAGAAGACTCTATTTAGTATAGTAAAAAGAAGTATTAATATCCTAGGTTATCTTTAAAGGATAAAAAGAACTAGCTACTAAAACAGATAAAATAATAATAAGCTAGGAGAAGGAGATTAACTAATTATAATCCCTATAAAAAATAATAGCTTAATTAATAACGATTTTATAAACTAAGAGTAAAATAACCCTTAAACGCTCTAGAGGACTATTTACTAAGATATTAAATATTAGAGTCTAAAATACCTAAATCCGAGGCTCTTTAAGTGGTACCCTAGCAGGGGCTATAACCTATATATCTTATATAATTTAGCGTACTAATTTAGCGAAGGCGCTCTTATAAGGTATTAACGTAGAAGTCTCTTATAAAAGGTCCTTGTTCTATATAAAAGAGTAGAGAATATAGGAGTTGTGTTACGGAGTTGGAGGAATTGGGGGCAGATCACGTGTAGCAGCACGGCACGTGCGTGCTGCTGGCAGCCTGTATATAAGCTTCTGTTCCTCTGGAACTCTCTTCCTTCCTCACTTAGTTGTTCGCTCTATATAGCAGTTTCCGTTTTGTCACGTATGCCAACAAAGGATAAATGTCACGAATCACGTGTAAGCATGTGATGAGTGAAGACCAGGCGGTGTCCTGACAGGTCGAGCACTATCATATCTCTTATAGCAAATAGGGATGCTTAGACTAGCTAAGCGATCCAGGGATTTCATTCCATTCGTATCACGTGACTAGTTGTGCTAGACAGGGCGACCGGTCGCGCGGTCTTGCAGCGACGGGGCGACTGGGCTAGCAAGCTAGCACAGGAACATGAAGGTTCTATATAAGACTGGCACGTCTGCCATTAGATAGGAGCTTCGTGCTCAACTTAGTTATCAATCTTATCATATTAGTTTGACATCTTTGATACAAGTAACGAGTTCACTTCCAAGTGAACAACCCGATAGTCTTCTTCTTATCATAGCATACCAACCAGCGAACACCCAGCCAAGTTTAGTTAGCCAGTTTGAGTATTCGTTACAATAAAGTGTATACAGCTTTTGAATCAATTGCTAGAACTAAAACCGTAGGTACGAAGAAATCAAACTAAAGAGAGAAGAGAATCTGAAAGGAGCGAAGTTATTTAAGTTGTTCCAATGCCAAGTCTAGTCACGTGCTTGGCCAAGCGAATGAAATCCTGTCAAATGAAATCCAGCTCCGTCACACGTTTGACTCCGTATTCATCACAGCAAGCAGTGGTTCACTCCACACGGTCACAAGTTGAGGATCTAAGTTAAAAAGTTATAAAATTATTATCATAGAGTATATATTATCTAGGGTCCATTCTACTACTATTTTAACGCTAGAGTACTCTATATTACTTTTACTTATTTATAAGAAATAGTAGTATATTTGTTCTAAGAACTAAATACTACGTCTTATCTTTATAACTTAGACTTCTTAAATACTAGTTTATTCTACTATTCTAACTTGGAATAGGTAATCTCTCTAGTATATAAGAAAGCTATAAATATAAGTTTTAATACTACTTTAAAATTTAAATAATTATACTATCCTAGTAGTACTTAATAAGACTTCTTTAGAGTAGAAGTAATAGAGCGGATTTAATCCTAGAAAATAAGCTTAGCCTTATGTATTTATTATAGATCTTAGAACGCTTAAATACCTAATAAAAACTTATTATAAAAGTAGGCTTTTAAATATTTATAGCGTATACCTATTTTCTATATAATATAAGCGAATAGTAGAAAGGCTTACTTAAATCGAATTTATATATAACCTTCTAGTTATTAAAAGACCTTATTCTCTCTTTGCTACCCTTAATAAGACCTAGTTAAGAAGAGCTTATAAATCTACCGGCTAGGCTAGACGTAATCTCTTAGCTTAGAAAGTCTTAAATAAGCGGATATAAGAGTTATATACCTTACGTATATTTATAGAAAGACTAAGATATATAAAAGTAGAAGTAAGCTAAGAAACTCTAGGTATTATAAAATTAACGTAATTAACAAAAGACTCTATTTAAAGAGAGGATACTAATTAGCTATTATATTATCTAAATTCCTTAAAAAAGTATCTACTAAAATATTTAGTAGACTAGGAATACGTTCTAAGATTATTTCGATATCTCATTATATCGCGAAGTAAAGAATTAAGTAAAGAGGCTTGTTTTAATATAGGTACTTAAGGTATTATTTTACTAGGCCGAATTAAGTAGTAACGCTATTTATATAAACTATTACCTTCTTTCTAGACTATTAAATAGCCTAGGTCTTAAAAAATACTTATACTACCTTAATCTTAAATATATTAATATTAAATTCTTTTTTAATTAGTAGAAGTAGTATTTATATAGTATATTCTTTTATTAGGTTACGTACGTAGTAGCGCTAGTTAATTCTTAATATATTCGCCTATATCTAAAAGGTACCTAGACCTTATATTAAAGCGTTATAAAATAAGTAGATAAATTAATAGTATAAATTAAAGAAAGTTTAACTATTAAATTATAGTAGTATCCTATTCTACTATATAAAATCTACCTTAACCTTTAGAGAAAGCCCCTATTAACCTTTAATATATTCTAGCTATATATAGATAAAAGTCTAAAAGTTCTTATAAAACACCTAGCCTAATTATATAACTCTAGTATAAAATAATAGGAGACCTATAATTAATTTATTTTCTTTTTAAGTTATATTATTTCGAGAGATAAATATAATAGTTTATTCTTTAATTTAAGTAAGTTTATTAGGTAGAATTAAAGCTATAAAAGTATTTATATCTACTAAGTATCTTAGGACCTCTAACTATATCCTAAACATTTTTAAGGTTATTAATTAGTATTCTTAGAACTATTATCAAATCCTTAAATTTCTTATTCTCTTCTTCTATAAATTTTAATATAATATCTTTTTATACAAATATAGTGAACTTACTATTTAAATAGTAACTAAAGAAAAGCTACTTTAAGTATAACTTAATAATCTATTCTAGAGCCTTTATAAATCAGTTAAATATAAAAGGAGCTACTACTAAACTAAAAGGAAGAACTATGTAAATATATTTTATACCTTTCTACTAAAATCCTAGTATCTATTATATATATAGAGCTATAGGAACTATTCTAAAAGTATTTAATATATTATACTTAAAGATTATACAGCCTTAGCCCGCCTTTTATACTAACTCTAAAGCCTCTTTAAACGTAATATATTATAAATATATATATTTGTCTAGTATATTCGAATTAACTGAGTTCCCTTTAGGAAAGAACAAGTAATAGATTTAGTAGTAGTTACTATTCGGTTTTAGTTTTAGTATAAATCCTAGTAGTAACGCTATAAAAGGTTCGTCTTCTATAGGATCTACTATCTATACTAGCCTACTTTATATTCTTACTACTACTACTACTCTTATCCGCGGTACTATTACGACTTAGATAGATATAAGGATATAATAGATTATTATAACTATTACTATAAGTTTTTTTAAAATACTTTTACGTTAATATATTCTTATCTTTAGAGGCGTTACTCCTAGCTAGACTAGAACCTCTACTACTACTAGAGTTACGTCTAGTATAATAGTACTAGTTAATCTATATCTTAGGAATCTCTTATAAAATAAGACTTTATAATCTATTGCGGGTAATAACTTGTTTATACTAAAATAAAGCTAGGTATATAACCTTTATCTAAATCTAAACTTTTACTAATTATATAATAGTATTAGAGTAATTACTTAATTATAGTAGAAGGCTAGCTTATAGAAATAAGGGCAAGAATAACTAGATTATATATACTATATAAGTATTAAAATAATAGGCTTATTTTTAAAGATTATTACTATATAGCTTAATAGACTTTCTCTTTTTTATTTCCTAGGTCTTAGACTCTCTATTAAATAAGATATTACCTTTGTTATCCTAGAATAAGGGAGCGCCGGAATCTAATAAGTAGAGGTCGGTAACTTTAAAAGTACCTTTTATAATCTAAAGGATATATTTATAATACTCCGGAGGTAAATAGTCTATAACTTATATAATAAAAGGAGGGAACGTACTATAATTAATAGTTATTTATTCTAAGTCCGATATCTAATTTAGAAGGGCGGGTAGGCCTAATAGATTACTTTAAATAAGGCTACTTAATTAGCTCTATTAGTATAAATTTTAGTAGAAGGGACCTATATTTTAGGGTTAACTTTACTATATACCTAGACTAGCTATATATAAATTACCCTATTAAGGTAATAGAGTAAGAGCTAGGGCTACCTAATTTTAGTATATAATAGCCGGTTATTTTTACAGACTAAGGGCTCTACTTATTATAGGTCTACTATATACGATCGGATTACTATAAACGTCTATACTCTAGCGTTTATATAGATTATTACCTATACTCGTATATCTATATCTTTATTATTATTAAACCGTATTATTCTAATAAACTATATCTAAACAAGGTTAATCTAATCTATATATACTAGGAATAGGGGTATATTCTCTTATATAGAACGTAGTATTTTAAACTTAAGTAATACTAGATCCTAGAGGATTATTCCTAGGGTAAAAACCCAGGCGAGTCTCTAGTCGTTTAATAGTAGGGAAGGTAGATCTCCTTTAAGGAGTGAGTAACTAGCGACCTTAGTGTCACGAATCACGTGCTCTCGTGATACTTGTCATAATAAGAGGCGCAACCCTCGACAGGCACATCCAGGTTTCTTATAGCAAACAGGGATCGTTTGGAGTAGCTAAGCGATCCAGGGATTTCTCTGTATTGTTATCACGTGACCACTAGTGGTCGCGGCGACCAGCAGCGATCATGGGAATGAGGGTTCTATATAGGACTGGCACGTCTGCCATTAGATAGGAGCTTCGTGCTCAACTTAGTTATCAATCTTATCATATTAGTTTGACATCTTTGATACAAGTAACGAGTTCACTTCCAAGTGAACAACCCGATAGTCTTCTTCTTATCATAGCATACCAACCAGCGAACACCCAGCCAAGTTTAGTTAGCCAGTTTGAGTATTCGTTACACTTAGCGATAAGCTCTTACTACTCTTACTATAGTATTAATTACTTCTCTTATAGTATCTTCTTTATTATATTAAGCTTATAATTCTACTCTTACTATTTCGTAAGCTTCTTTAGCTAAGCGGTTCCTTACTCCTATTAGAGTTCGCTAATTATAAAGGTCTTATTCTATATATATAAACGCGCGATAACCTACTCTAGTAAGATTTATAGTATAAGCTCTTTATAATATATATTTTAGAGGTTTCGGAGGTATAATTAAGGCTTATTATTTTAGATTAACTAGATTTAAAAGAGCTAATAATTATACTATATAGAACGATAAATATAGTATTATTAATAGAGGAGTGTACTCGTATATAGGATATTTATCCCACCGAGTTGCTTAGTAAGCACTCCCTTATTCACAATAAACCACTGCTATATAATTATATATCCTTCTCCCGAAGACCTATTCTATTTACCAAAAGTAATCTTACTAAGATTTTACTTAGAAGCTACTTGGGATTACTTATATCCGATCAATCTCCCTTGGAATTAGAAGGTTCTAAGGATAACAACGAGGATAATTTTAGTGTTTAAAAAGTTTTAGGACCTAAAAACCCTGAGGATGTTTTGTAGAGGGTATATCGGCAAATATACTGAAATCCCACCTATAAAACTTCGGGACTAAAATCCTAAGGATGTAAATGAGGATATCCTTATAGCGGGGTTCCTTGTAGCGAGTTTTTCCTATACTGTACACCTCTCCATCTTTGGATTTCTTGATTCCTTGATTTTTTGACTTCTGCGCTAAGGCCGAGGCGTGTACTGGATGTATGTAGTAAGCTACTGTAGTGCAGATGTAACCACACCACTTGCACACCACACCACCAACACCCTTGTACCTATAAGCCCAAGCCCCTCGATACCACCCCACCTGGGCACTCTCCGAACAAATCGGATGGAACGTTGACTTTTCTTCAGCGGGTCGGAGCGGGTGGGAGCAGGTGGGAGAGACGTGCAGAGTGGTATTGGGGCTTGTGAAGTGTGTGGTGTAGGGGAGGGGAGAGGAATGGAGGGGGAGGGTGTATGATTGGTTGATATATAGGTTGGTTGATATATACGTAGATATTGATATGTGTATATTGATGTGGGCTTTGATTGGATTGGTTGGATTGGCTAGTGCAGTAGTTGGTTCTCAACCACAGCTTCGTTTTTGTATAGTGCGCTAATTAATCTTCTGAGGAGAGTACATGAGGATGCAAGGTGGTGGAAAGAGATAGTCAAGTAAAGTGAATGAACGTACAGTATACATATGTGATGTATGTATGTATGTATGTATATAAATGGTTTCTATACTACACCTCTACAAACATCTTCCTTCCTTATAAGATAAGATAAGATTCTAGTCTCTAGGTATAGCTATATAAAGTAGTATACATTTGTTCGTTTGTTTTTGTGCGGTGCGGCAAGTAGTTTTTGAGTAGTAGAGTACATGAGGGTGAAGGGGTGAGGATACAAGGTGGTAAAGAGAGATAGGAAAGTGAATGTATATAGGAGTATATAGTATGTACTCTAGGTATGTAAATAATTCCTACACTGCACCTCTTACAAACACCTTCCTTCCTCATAAAAATACCCTCAACTCTCAGCATAAAACAACAGTCAGTACATCCTTCCCAACAGATGCGAAGACGCACTACACTACTGAGAACTACCCTTCCTCCCCCCTCGTCTACGTCGTGCAACCGCACAACCAAACAAGTTTGCACCATCATAATTCCTCAACACATTCCACCCACCGAATATATAAACTTACAGTACTGGTGGTACTGCAGTCTGCACCTCCTCGGATACCGGATCCCAGAAAACCCCCTCATCCCAACTTCCCAACATAAATCCCTCTATTTCTCTCAACGCCACTTTACTCGTATATGTACGGCTCGCTCAATACAGTACAGTACTCGTCTTTTCTGAATCGGTGTGTTACAGGACCCGTGCGAGATCATTTATTGATTTATTGATTTATTGATTTATTTACTGTACTGTATATGCACCCTGATTTCCTCGTCTCGGATTTTCCTCGCGAGACTACGGAGGTGGAGGTGGACGTGGACGTGTAGGTGTTGACATGCATGAACGGCTCGGTATACTGTATTGGGAGGAGGGGACAGGACAGGAAATAAGGGGAGGGGGTATGGTACCGGAATCTTGATAGTTGTGGTTTTGGTTTGTATGGTTTGGATGGTTTGGTATGGTTTGCTTGCTTACACGAGAGGTAGGTATGTAGGTAGGTAGGTAGGTATGTAGGTAGGTAGGTAGGTAGGTGGTTCGCATGAGTTGTATATTATCTTTCTAGATTGGATATTGTGCAGCTATGCTTCTTCTTGGTGTGTTGGACAACTACATGTATACAATCCACACATACGTTGATAAAGAGAGATATGAAAAGTAGGAATACGCTGTTATATATTCACTGATAAGTGAGCAAGTTTCTACCTCCTTTACCTAAATTGGTACGTTTGAGTGAGCAAGTTTTCGTGACGAAGACGGTTGACGAGGAAGGTTTACTCGACTCGGTAGAAGAATCGTATGACTACTGGTCTTTTGAGAAGATTCCGAGGAGTGGATATATATCGACTCGTCCTTCTCTTCTTGAGTTTGTCTTCTACGATACTTGATCTTTAATCGGACACGGAATTTCACTGAACAACAACAACGACAACAACAACAGCCTTCTCAACGTCCAGCTACCAATATCAAAACACAGCAAACAAAACAAAGGAAAAGAAAGGAAGAAAGATGGACATGGCAAAGAGCATTACGATGGGTATCAGTATGGGCGGTACGATGACCACTGCCGATATGGCGGCCATGACTTCGAAGCCCAGTATGGGTATGGGTATGGGTGGTGGATCGGGTTGTAAGATCTCTGTATGTTACTCTTTTACATACTTCTGCTCACTCATTGATTCTCTCCATACCTCAATTTCTTTCTGAAAGGGACTGGGCGGGTAAGTGAGAAGCTAATTATATCTATCTAAAGATGTTATGGAACTGGTATACCATCGACGCCTGTACGTCTCCCCTCACTCCCCCTTCCTCCCTCTCACCCTCTTCCTCCCTCCCCTCCCATCCCCCCCCAAAAACAAACAACAAAAAAAAATAAAAACAAAAAAAGCTAACATCCCCCCAGGTTTCATCTCCCACTCCTGGCACATAACCACCCCCGGAATGTTCGCCGGCTCCTGCATTGGTGTAATCCTCCTCGTCATATCCCTCGAGTTCCTGCGTCGTGTATCACGAGAATACGATCGGTTTCTCTCTACCCATTACTCCCTCTCTTCCCCTTCCCCTTCACCTTCCGCAAATTCAACCAATTGCAACCCCTCCTCCTCACCTTCTTCTTCTTCTTTACATACTGCCAACAAATATTCCTCAACCACAAACGAGAATGGTGCAGAGAGTAAGGGAAAGAGTACGGGAAAGGGAAATTTAAGAGGGAGTTTAAAAGGAAGTTTGAAAGGAAGGAGGTATAAACCAACCCTCCTCGAACAAGCCATCAGAGCGACACTTCATATGATACAATTCACCATCGCGTATTTCATCATGTTGCTTGCGATGTATTATAATGGGTATATTATTCTTTGTATCGTTGTTGGGGCTTGGTTGGGGGCCTTTTTTTTTAGTTGGGAGGGGGTTGGGTGAGTTTTACTCTTTGTTTTTGTTCGCCCTTCTTCTCTGTTTTTTGGGGGTTGGAGTTGAACTGGATTTGGGTTTATTTTGGCGAGGAAGAAGGAATTAAATACTAACACTAATACACGCACAGAGACGACAGCGATAAGGCCGAAGCGACGTACTGCTGTGGCTAGTATCTCCCATTTCAACTTCAACTCCACTTCCCGAACCGGCGACTTTTCTGCAGCAACAACCCCATAAACAGCAAACTCCCCGAGATCCAAGGGCTGCGGGTTGAATCTATAGATGATGCTGGCATCATCGGGGGAAAAAAAGTAATCTCTGAACGTCCATACAAAACTTGGCTTTCCCAGAAGATCTTGATCATGGAAAGGGGAAGGTGAAAGGGGAAGGGGAAGAGGGTGAGAAAACGTACGTACAGTAATAGAATCAAAATGAAGTCGGTGGAAGTTCTTAACTTCTTAGTAAACAATGAACTTTGTGTTTAGCGAGGATGAGTTTGAGGATGAGTGAATCCTACTATAGGCTTACTCGTACCCCTTCTTTTTTTTCATTAGCTTACTCATTGACTTGGAAATAACAATTACATGAATATTACAATACTAGACATATTAACGGAGGGGTCTAAAGCTAAGATGATAAAGGAAGGACCTTACCTCGCTTAAGTTGTTCAGGGACCAAAATTATATATAAGCAACCTAGTAATATAATATAACAATAATTTACCTTAGGCTCTATTTACTCAAAATGTTGTCTCTTAATATCGTCCCACTTTTTAATAACAATGGCCGTCTTTAGACGTCTCCGAGCGCGTTATACTTCCTCTAGCCTAGTATAAAATCCGTCTACGTATAGACGTGTCACGAATCACGTGTTAACACGTGAAGAGTGAAGACCAGGCGGCGCCCTGACAAGTTAAGCACATCCGTAGACTTATAGCAAATAGGGATCGTTTAGGTTAGCTAAGCGATCCAAGGATTTCCTTGGACTAGGAATCACGTGACGAGCGACATGGTCGACCAGGTCGACCATGGCGACCACAGAGAACGAAGGTTCTATATAAGACTGGCACGTCTGCCATTAGATAGGAGCTTCGTGCTCAACTTAGTTATCAATCTTATCATATTAGTTTGACATCTTTGATACAAGTAACGAGTTCACTTCCAAGTGAACAACCCGATAGTCTTCTTCTTATCATAGCATACCAACCAGCGAACACCCAGCCAAGTTTAGTTAGCCAGTTTGAGTATTCGTTACACGACGCTATAGACTGTATTTCTAATCTATATAATATTACCTTGTAATATTACTTTAGTAGTAAAAGTAAAAATAACCCTAAGAGGTTGTTTTCGTCCTTAATGTCGCGCTAAGATAACCTATAAGCGACTATTTATACCCGTCATCCTATACTTTAGCGTACTTTTACTATTTATAGTCTATTACTATACTACCTAGGCTCTAATATAATTAAGGGATTTTTATATAATTTTTATTATTTAATATTAGGAACTAAAACAATAACCCCTTATCGAATACACTTGCTTATATAAGCTTACTATAGCAAATAAGGTCTTAGTACCCTAATCGAGAGTATAAAAGCCTGTAGTTACAGCGTGTATAGCCTAAAGCTGGTGTCCTCGCTTGAGCCTCGGATACTATAGAGGTAGTATAGATTAAAGACCCACGGTATACGCATTAGCGTGTCTCCACTAGATATTAAGGTACAATATTCTGAGTGAACAGAGCCTAATACACACTTCAAGTGTCTATAATTAAGAACAGATGCTTTCGTTCATAAAACTCCATATATAAGATTCATCTACACATAATCATACGATCTAATCTACGCCCCTACAACTACATGTCTACAAATTACCCTTCCCCCGCTTCCTCGCTAGAAAAAGAAAAAAATCAAAAGTGGTATCATTCGAGAAACCCCTAGACCCTCGATCCAAATCTCCATCATAATCAAATCCATCATATAATGAACATGCTATATCCCTCTGAAAAAGCAATCACCCCCTCCAGCCCTACCCCTGCTCCCTACACATCACCTCACATCCACCTCCGCGTCACCTAATAACATCCTCAGTAATAACATCATTATGCACATCACTGGACGTAGTCATGACCAAATCCCCCTCTAGCATGCCACTCCCACGCGCACTATTAATCCGCTTCTCCTTATGCTTCTCCACCTTCTTAATCGCCTCCTCAGTCAACTCCTGTCTGAACATCTTCTCGAAAACATCCTTCTTCCTCGTCCGATGGTCACCGATGGAAATCAGCACCCCGGCTGTGATATTCACCGTAATCGACACACAAAGAATCACAGTCGTCAGAGCGAACGGGCGCGTTTTGTAACTAATCGCCCATGTACAAGTTCCCAGTGCGATTTGGAGGAAAGAATGACAGTCAAGTAGACATACGATGGCGACGAGGAGACGTAGGGGAAAGGCGTGGTGTGTCATCGTTTCGTGGGGTTTGTAGAAGGAATGCGAGTTGGAGAATTTCTTTTGATGGTGTGCGAGCTTTTTTTGTTGTTGGGGGGTGAGAACGCTGTATTCGGGTTCTTCTTCGAGTTGTTGGTGTTCTTCTATTTCCTCGGGTTGCACGGCTGGGAGATCGTTGTGATCTTCTAGTTTGGGAAGTGCTTTTTCTTTGCGTAGGCGCCAGGTCAGGTGGTGGTAGTGCGCAATGAAACACATGTGATAGGTGTCGACTGCTCGAAATGGTGCAAGTCCGTCACCCATGATGGCAAATAAAGCTACCATGATATTGTCGATAATATTAACTATGTAATCTTTCTTGTCACCAACATTGGCCCAGCCTGTGGAATAAATCCGTTAGTTATGTTTGATGGCGTTTGATCGAAAAAACTAACCGATCAAGAAGAGAACCCATGCAAATCCAAATACTGTAATTAAAAAAGCGTAAAGTGTGACGAAAAAGCCAAGAGCTATTCATATTAGTAGTGCTTCATATATAGATACCATCTTACTCACGCCTAGAAACATATTGACCAAATCCCTTCATACTTCTTTTGAACTTTGATCTCCTGGAGTGAAGCATGTGTCGAACATGGTCATTCATCTCCATTTTTTCTTCTTCCGTCCAGCCGGATAACCGCACTCCATGCGGGAGTACAGCATAATATGCTTCGTTGACGTTAGAATTTAGTGTATTTAACGTGGCTCCCGTGGTAGTTCTTTGGCCTTCCAAATTCGGCCGGGTTTTCTTCTTCTCCTCGTCCGCGGCTTGATCCTCTCTTCTCGCTGCAGCATCACTCTGTGGGGCTTCAGATGGAAGTCGCGTGAGATTATATGTGGCTCTTCGATTAAGATATCTCCCTAGATTGGGCACGAAAATAGAGTTTTGTAGATTCGTGAGGGTAGATAAGGTTGATACTTCGGGATCTAGGATCAATTAGCAAGATTTCCATCATCCGTGTTATCTATCGTTCAGTACACACCAACAACATCCAGCATGTCCACCAGATTATCATCATAATCATTGCTATCATCAAACGGAGCCGTCCTCACACGTCGTAGCCTTCTACCCACTCTCGGAGGAGAAGCATTGGAAGCCACTGGAGAATTCAGAACCACGCCCTCTATTGGAACTGATTCCTGCACATTTCCTGTGGTGGGAGAAACTGCTTCTTCCTCAATATCCGGAATAAAAGATCTCTGCTCCCTCAACCCAGGAGTCGAGGCAGCACCCACTGTCACCGGTGGTCTCTGGGGCGCCGAGCTACTGCGATTCCTTCGCAAGCCAGAAAATCCTTGGGAGACATGTGTACTCGGTGGACCACTGCCGATCTGGGCATTGGCCTGGGTATTGCTTTGGGTGATGGCGCCCAGAGAGGGAAGTCTACGTATGCGGATGGAGGGTTGGAAAGTGCGATTAGGGTCAAAATAGGGATTGTGATTGGCAATGGCAGCAGGCGTATTGGCAGGCGTACTGGCACTGACATGGGCTGTCGGATCGCTACTGTTCGAAGGCAGAGATTCCTCCCCCCGGGATCTTGGACGAGCTGGAGCTCCTGCAATTCCAGGTGTTGTTGGCAATGATGGTGTTGGCAATAACGGCGATGGTGGTGTCCCCTGGCCTTGAGATTGCTCTCCCGGCGATGCCAACGGAACCCCAGGCTGGTTCTGGTGCTGGTTCTGGTCCTGCATCGTTGCACGCCAAAGTCACAGTTGTGACTGATGCGTTGGGGAAGAGCAATTAGGGATTAAAAAGGATGCGATGCGTGAGAAAAGAGTAGTGAATGAAAAAAAACTGGCCCTTCTACTTCTACTCGAGCCTAGGCTCGAAGCCTGAGATTACTGTACAACTGTTCTTGTGGCGTTCGGTACGTCATGAAGCACCAATGCTTTGCAGTAAAGCCTGATTTGCGGGAAAAGAGGATTGCGATTTTCCGCAAGGGACCCGGCGCAGGCACGATTGGATGGGTTTTGGAAATCCGATGGGCGACTGATAAGATAATTGTGGATATATTTGTTTACGACGATCAAGGACTGGAAGCATTTGGGATCCCAAAAATTGTTTCTGTGAGCATTCGCAAGGGACTCCTCGCCCCGGCCGAAAAGTCCGAGACTGGTCTTGTGTCGACGGAAGGTTATCTACGACTACTACTCTATCTCGTCTGCGCAGAAGTTGGCAAGACCTGCCGTCATCTTTACATGAAACAGGCACAACGACGAGCTTTGAATCTAGCCCAGCCATCTCAGGTAAGTACACGAATAGCTGGTTTTGATGTGCTCGTGTAAGTCTAGTCTAAAACCCTCGTCTACTTGTACTGCACTCGCCTAGTCTTGTCTAACACGCTCTAATATCTAGTCTAATGCGCTCTAACATCTAGTCTAATACTGCTACGGTATCCATCCCTTCATTCTTACACACACTTCTTACACACACTTCTTACACACACTTTTCTACACACCTCATTCTTACATAGGCACACTACTTCCTCTTCTTCTCCCTCCACTCGGAAAATGCAAAAACCATGGCACAAGCAATACCCGCAATGCCCATTCCAATCCCCAAATACCAAGCACCTCTATATCCCATCAGCTTGTCTTGCCCTCCATCATTCACCTCTCCTTCAATCGTCCCCGCAATTCCCAGAGCCAGCGAGATGGAATAGTTAACCACAGTGTTGACCAAACTAGCCGAAACACCTTGTGATTCTCTAGGCATCTTGTTACTGAGTAGCAGATTTGCTGCAGGAAACGAAATATCCCTATCATTCGTTAGCTCCAGCTCGGAAACAGATATTGGATGGAGCGACAACTCACATTCCCCAAGGCATAATGAGTAGAGAGACGAACGTCTGTGCCCAGTAAGTTTGATCTACCGGCGCGGTAGCCAGGAGAATCAACCCCAGACTGAAAGCCAGAAGAGCAATTCCCATCAACAAACTTCCTGGGACACGATGGATGATATATCCCGTAGTAACGGCAGCAAGAAGACCACTGATACAAACCGGACTGAACTGCGCAGATGCAAGCAAAGGACTGACATGTCTCAACTCCAACAAGAATTGCCAAAAGTAATACGTCCAGACACTGAATCCCGACCATCCCAGAGCCATACATGCTAAGATGAATGCCGAATCGGCAGCCATATCTTTGAACGGCACCAGAGGGAACTTGCTGACTCGTAACTCAACATACCCAAACTCACCGAGTACGACGATTCCAATGATGAGAAGGACATACGTATACGGAGTCGACCACCCCACAAGCGGTGCTTGATTCCACGCTACATTCACGAGTACCAATCCTGAGACTCCCGTGATGCCTCCTAAAGCATCGGTGAGATTCCACACGCTCTCCGAGGGATTCAGGCGCGGAGGCGGTGTAGTAGGAATCAGAAAGATACTGAGAATCGCGAGGAGAAGACAGACGATGGCATTGATATAAAATCCCCACTGCCAATTCGCATATTTCGCCAATAACGAAGCAAACACCGCACCAACAATAAACCCCGTAGGAGCCGTAGCACCAAACGCACTAAACATCATCTGCTTCCTAACGCCAGGTCTATACGTCCGTCCCAAAATCGCAACCGCATTTGGCAAACACAACGCCGGTCCAATCCCCTGCATCGCCCGACAGAAAACCAACAACGTAGGACCAGAATACATCGACAGTCCCCCGATCAGACTCCAAAGCGCCCACCAAAGGAATCCAGTAACAACCAGTCTCTTATGCCCGTACAAATCTCCCAGTCGTCCAGCAGGCAGGATGAACGTCCCAACCGTCAGCGAATACGCGGCAGGAAACCAACTCAATTGCCCCGGGACCTGGGCGTCGAAACTGGCACCGATGAGATGGAGCGGCGCGATGACTTGCGCGAGACCGGATTGTGTCATGAATTGAGCCATGCAAATAACCGCCACGAAGCCGAATTCATGATATGGGGTTTGGGGGTATTCCACCCAGGATTGGGTGATGGTTGCTAATCCTCCTCCGACGTGGTCGTCTTCTTTGGTGAGTTGGTGGTGTAGTCCTTCTCCAATGGGGGTTGGGGACTCGGTTATGGATGTTATATCTTCATCGGACGTGGTGGGCTGTTTCTCGAGGTCCGGGTCTTCTCTCTTGGTAGATTCCGACGCTGAGGAAGGACTCGGCACCATCACGACGACCTTCCTTATAACTGCGTGACGCGTCCGTAAGTACTCCGTAAAAGGATCCAAGGACGAATCTGCTCTGCTCTTCTCGTATTCAAACTAGATTCCTGAGCGCGTAACGTGAAATCAACATCATTACACCGCCATTCCAGTCGTAAAAACCCGTCCAGTACTGTACCAAAGATTAAGCAAGCCTTTCTTTCTTTCCTTTTCCTTCAAAAAATTCCAGCTTGAAAACAATGCCAAAAAACCAAAAAACCAACAAATAAAAAATTAAAATAACGCAAACCAGCAAAGAATCCCTAAAAATCATTCATCCATGACGTCCAAATCCACAGGAAAACCCACTATCGGAAGAGACCCTGTTTTTGATTCGCTATTTTTTCATCGAATCTTCCGTGGGATCCACAGCATAGGTACCCACTTTCTTGGGTTGCTGGTAATTTGCTGTGTCATGATTTGGAATTTTGGATGGGATGGGGGGTTTTGTTTAATATTGGGTAATGATACCTAGGTAGGTAATCTAGACTTGAAGTCGTGAATGGTGTGAAGATGTGAATGATGTGAATGATGTGAATGATGTGAAGATGATAAATGATTACCTACTATATGGGATAGGCCTTAACAAATAAACGCTTAAGGAAGTAAATTGCTTATTCGAGTTTACGCTTATGTTTAAATTTAAATTATATCTATAGATAGACAATCAAACCCTAACCTAATGCCCATCATTCCACTACCTACCTAACTTCACGAATTATCTTAAAATTCCAAGCATGTGTACATGAATCAACCTACCCACCCCCATCTCCCTCACATCCCCTAAAAACAAAACCTCACCACCCGGATAAACCCCGGGACCAACTCAATACCCCTCCAAAGCACGTGCAAAACCCGAGACCCGAGACCCGAGACTGAGAACCGTACCGCGTGATGATTGGTCAGATAAGGCGTCTTCATCCCTGAGAAGCCCCGGGGCCATTTCCAAGGAGATACGCTACATCGTTATCGGCCTTTATCGGAGGCGGGGTGTTCCATTGGAAATGAACATCTCCGGGCCTGGGAGAAAGGATGAAAAAATACTCACGAGCGAGATAAGTAGCGATGGCGACATCTTTCTTAACTTCTTTTCTTTACTTCTAGATGGTTTCTTTATGTTTTCTGATTTACTGCTTACTCTCTGATTTCTTTGCCACGACCTTGTGAGGCTTCTCTTTTGCCTTCAGTCATTCAACAAGCATAACGCACTACCACGCGCAACATATCCACCACTCTGAGCACGCCGACTTCTCTCCATCGTATTCACCATGGAGCCCGTATCCCTCCTTACCTCAATTGACTGCACATCTCATGTGCATCTCATCATCGGCTCCAATCCCCTGGCATCAGCAAGATGTGCCAAATCCCTCGAAGTGGGCGCGAAGCCCCTACTACTCGCCCCCGAGTCTGCGGTACTCCATTATGCCTTGCAGAACAGGATAGACAGCGGACAAGTTACCTGGGTAAAGAAGTCGTTTGAGGATGAGGATGTACTCCGGCTTGGGAGGGAAGAGATTGGTGGGGTGGTTGATGCTGTGTTTGTTACCTCAGGGTCTCGGGATCCATTGAGTATGTTAAAACACCCCTTTGGGAATTACCCAGAAATCTGAAGTTGACATTCTTCGAAGGTGCTCATATCTCGAAGCTCTGCAAGAGAAATCGAATTCCGGTCAATGTGTCGGACGCTCCGTCACTCTGCACTTTTAGTCTCCTTTCCACCTACACAGACGGCCCTCTGCAGATAGGAGTCACGACGAATGGTCGAGGATGCAAGCTCTCTTCCAGGATACGGAGAGAGATTGCTTCGTCACTACCTCCATATCTGGGCGCAGCTTGTTCCCGGCTGGGAATGATTCGAAGAAAGATACAAGAGGAGGACCACCTCTGCCATACTGCCGCCCCCGTCGAGCTCGATGAAGAGGAATCAGTGGATCAGTCGTCAAGCTTCAACAAACTGATTACTGAAGCTGATTTTGACGCTGCGAAAAATAGAAGAATACGATGGCTTTCCCAGATTTGCGAATACTGGCCACTTCGTCGACTGGCAAATATAACGGATGCGGACGCAAACACAGCTCTCGAATCCTATTCTGCACATTCTGTATCATCGCCACCTTCACTTGACCATACGCGAAGTTCTTCAACGTCCACCCAAAGGAAAGGACGCATAATTTTGGCTGGAAGCGGTCCAGGTCACCCAGACCTCCTTACTCGTGCGACTCACAAAGCCATTCTATCTGCAGACTTGATTTTGGCGGACAAACTCGTCCCATCCGGAGTTCTTGATCTTATACCACGTAGGACACCTGTTCATATCGCTCGTAAGTTCCCGGGTAATGCGGAGCAAGCACAAGAAGAGTTATTGTCAATGGCTCTTGCGGGTGTCAAGACAGGAAAAACAGTACTTCGACTTAAACAAGGTGATCCGTATATATATGGTCGGGGAGGGGAAGAATACGAGTTCTTCCGTAAAGAGGGATACGAGAAGGACATTTGTGTACTTCCGGGTATAACAAGTGCCCTTAGTGCCCCAATGTTTGCAATAATTCCAGCGACTCAGAGGGCAGTCAGCGATCAAGTGTTGATATGCACGGGAACAGGAAGAAAAGGAAAGCCTTCCACACCGCCAGAGTTTGTAGAAACTAGGACGGTTGTCTTTTTGATGGCATTACATAGAATCGGCGCCTTGGTAAAGGATCTGACCACATGGGATTCAGCAGATGCGAAGATATTGCTTCCATCAGAAGATGGAGTGGAAGTGGTAGATCGTAGCAGGAGACTGTGGCCGACTTCTACGCCATGTGCTGTTATCGAGCGAGCCAGTTGTCCGGATCAACGTGTGATTCGAACCACTTTGGAGTTCGTAACCAGCGCCATTGAGAGCGAAGGAAGTCGACCTCCTGGATTGCTAGTTCTTGGGAGATCATGTGAAGCATTAATCAAGGGCGATTCCAGTCGAAAATGGACTGTAGAAGAGGGATGGGCTGGTTTGAATTTTGGTGATTTTCCTGGTGAAGAGGAAGTCTTTTCAACTAGTGAAGCTGTAGAGGAAAAATCCGTAAAAGTTGGAAACGAATGATGACATATTGAGCGGGTCACATTATAAGAGGGAATCGGATTTGATGCATAGCGCAAGGCGTAGTAATGATCATCAAGTCGAAGAAATCGTAGCAGTATAGATAGATATCAAATGACAACTCGCCGTCCGCTCTTCCTGGGTATCTTTGATGCGACCCAGTGTCGACCTCCTCGCTCCTGATAGCTCATATCATCATTATCCATTTCCTCGCATGTCATTCGCGTTCCATTTTGGCGTCGAAAGTTGATATTTCCCCCCCCAAAACTCCCAAATCCATCTATTCATCCTCCAGACCACCCAAGTTCGTGCCAGCCGCAACGCTCATCCTCAATTGCCTCTGCCTCTGCTGACTCTGCAGTCCCAACCTCTCCACCGCATACCCAAGACGCTCCTTTTTCTGTCTCAGCGCCTTGAGCTTCAACACCCTCCCCTCATCACCCGTCTCGCTCTCCAATTTCCCAGATACCAATCGGTCTAGACTTCGTTTCTTCCTCAATCCCTGGGATTCGTCGTTCGACAGACGGCCTTCGAGGAGCTCGGATCGCGCGATCAGGGCTTGTTCTCGTCGCTCGAGTTTCGCGATGTGCGACTCGCTACGGGCGAGGAGGGTGTTGATTGCGGGGGCCAGTTCGGCGGCTAGGGAGGCTTGGGCGGCGGAGAGGGTTGTGGAGGGGGTGAGTTCGAAGTGCTGGGTGTATTGTTTTTGTTAGTGTTTTCTTGGAAGTTTTTGGGGTGATAAATATATTGGGCGAGGGGGTAATGGGGTTCATACGCGTGTACTTGTCAGGACTTTCTTTAGTCGTGGAAAATCGGAGATTCCTGCATCGAGAATGGAGATTGAGGAGTCGAGGAGGCTGAGTGAGGATCGGAGGGAGGAGACGGACGAGGAGAGCGTGTTGAGGGCTTGGGATTGGGTTTGTGGGGTTGTGTATTGGTTTTGGGTTGAGTTTTGGTAGAGGGAGTTTAGGGAGGTTGTGTGATTCATTTTGAGATTGTTAGGTGGATAAGTTGTTGTGATGTGGTTATGACGTTGAATATTGGGCAGAGGGGAGGGGGAAACGCGATGTTGACATGCATCGCCAATGGACGGCGCTGATTGGTCTGCTGCGGGACAGTGCTGGGATGCTTTACCATCGGATGTACTCAAGTAGTAGAGTGAATAATTCACGTATTTTCGTAACTTTCTCTGAAAATCGCAATTGATCTAAATGTTACGCAGAGTCGTAATATTAATTCGGGTTTTGAGTCAGGACAATGGAATTAATCGTTCTAAAAACCTGACGTTAAACTTCAAAAAAGAACAAGGGAGAGATTGGGGATTTATTGTCGCTCTCTCTGTCCACCTCGAGCTTCGTCTTTCTACCAGTTACATACAATAAGGCTCTTACTGACAGCCTCAAAGATAGTCCAAGATTTCACTGTCGGAAGTGTCCCCGAAAAATAAGACACGATATTAAAATTGATGTGCAGTTCTTTTTCTCGCGTCCGAGCCAAATTACTCGTCATTGGCCATAGTCCTACCGCAGCAAATTTAATTTATAAAACATGCTAGGGCATGTAGGTAGAGTAAGGTAGAGGTGCAGTACCAAAGGGTGTAAAGTAGACTGTAGAGGTCCCTAATTTACTCGCTAGAAGTCCTTACTCTTATACGTTTACACACCAGTGAAAACAGGACATGTAAACTTGGTCGCATTCTCCAGTTCTGTTCTCCTGGAATCTCCCTACTTCTTACGCCTCAACCCCATGGAGAACAGACGCGGATGGAATATCAGTATGCTCGCGGCATAAGTAGAATATGGCCGCATTTGATTACATCCCAACCCCTTGATTCCCAACTGTAACGATCGTGGCTTTTCACAAGTTGAGAAACAAGATACGAACCTCGGTAAACATCCATTGAAAAGCTGCAATTGGTTCGCCTGGAAGAAGGAATAAGGTTATAACTTTATCAAGAACAGGGGCTCGCCAAGAAAAGAAACCCAGCTCGACCAGGAACTAAAAATCAGAAACTGGTGCCCCTGTACGGGCCAGTGAGGTCGGCGGTTTAGAAGGACGGTTTAAGTTTGTTTTCAAGCCTATGTTTGGAAAAAAGAGGAGAATAACGGGAATGAGATCGGATGTTGTGGAGAGGAGTTGTTGATAGTCGAACTTGGGACGAGGTGTGGTTCAAGTAAACAGTACAGTATAAGAAGACTAACTCTTCCCTCTCGCTTCATACTTCATTCTATTCAAATCTAACCATCCTCTACTTAATCCCCCCTTCTATCCTCCTACCAAAAAAACCAAATAATCGACAGGTTCGAAAACAGAAAAACGAACACAACGTAAAAATGAAGTCCTTCACCTCCATCATCTTCTTCCTCGCTCTTGCATCCCTCGGTATGTCGCAAAAATGTAACAAGAAGGAGAATGAAGTTTGTAAGGAAGGGTGTCCTAAAGAAATTGTACGTTTATTTTTCCTTTTCCTTAGCTACTATCTTACGGTTATACTTAAAGAGAAGGGCAGAAAGAAGCAATAAGTGCTAACAGGAAATTCTTACAGGGTGTTAAGAGTTGTGTTTCGGATGACAGAGGACTCAGTTGTGTTTGCAACTTCCCTGACCGTCGTTAGATTGATGGGGTTTGGCTAGGGTAAAGAACTCTAAGGATGGGAGTGAGGAGGGATGGGAGAAGCTGTGCTTCTTGTAGTCATGAATATGATACCCAACTTTAACATAAATTTCGTTCTATGCTTGTTGACTTGGGCAACATAATAAGCCGTGACACGGTAAAAAGGAAAGTAGAAGTAAACTGTTAATATTCTAATGTTGTAGACCACTCGTAGTGGTTACCCTAGGGCTTTGAACTAATCATCGAAGTTGTCCTAGAACATTCAGATAATTGTTCCATGCCAGGTGAAATTTGTACTGAGTGAAGGAGTAAAATGGGGAGATAGTAATTAATTAAGTGTATGTATGAAAAGGAGTAAATATATGCTAAACAAAATCTAGCTCTGGAAGCTCTAGGCTGTTTTGCTTATAGAAATTTTAAATATAACAATATAGAAAAAGATATCTAGCATCTTGAGCTAGCGTAGTTTGAGTAAATATAGTAGTAATAGACTCTGGACAGGAAAGATTATTGAGATGCTGGGAAGTCGTTGAGCTTAATTTTTGATATAGTTGTTCTGGTTTAGTGTCTCTTTGTTCTCATGCGATGCTAAATTGTATACTCATCTCTTAGTACCCAAGTATTTTCTTTTTTTCTCAAACTTTATTTGTTCTAAAATGATGGAGAAACTCACGGAGGCATAACGACATTTTCACAAAAATTGCTTCGTGTCATAGCTGCGAGGGATTGGCATAATACAGTATTAATACTTCTCAAAGAAAATCACGAATGAGATCACATTTACAAGTAGGCTCAACCGCTCCTGGGGTAAGGGAAATCATTGATGAATTTATTTTATTTTTCGGGGGGTTGGGGCGATTGAATACTGTGGTATTAGAGAAATACTCACAAGTTATGAGTTAGCCTCAGCAATTGATGGGCCAATAAACATTTAAGACAAACGTTTATCACCAAAGACACTCTTCCAAAACGGTTTCAAGACCTCTCGCTCTTTGTCCCACTTCTCTCGTCGACAATTCCTGCAAGGAAATCCTACCTCCTGGTGCTGAAATGTCCAAGATGGACACTCAGGCCCTGGCTTCTCACATGGTGGATCACTGCAGGCCTTTTGCGTAGAGGTTGTATGACCACAAGAGTAGTGCATATCTTTCTGTGTACAAATGGTTTGAGTGGCGCAGAAGCTAGTCATTGTGATTAGAGGATTTAGTGTTTTGAGGTGGAATGAGTGAGTGTTGAGGGAGAGGTAGGCATTAGAGTGGTGATGAACTGTGTAAATAGGCAAAATTGAAATCTGTTTAGAGAATATCTTGAAAAAATAAGGTTGTTATAGATATGACCTTTGTTCCTTTTGTTGTCTTTGTTGTCTTTGTACCTTGCTTCCTTAGGACGGAAGCTGGGGGATTTGGTCAATAAGTTCTCTTTTGACAAAGAGACCATGCATGATCTCGCTTATAGCAACACATGAATCACTTCGCAACGTTGAGAATACTGAGAACTAGCCAATCATATCTTGTGACAGAACAAAATCATTTTCGTCGTTTCTACTGCTTGATCGGAACCTAGCTTGAGAATGTGTTCGAGTATAAAGAAGGACAAAGTTTTGAGATGCTATTTACGCACGAGAGAAATAACTTCAGTTCCATATATATCATAAAATGAACGGTTCGAATTGTCTGATCTACTATAGTAAGTTCTAATCGAGTAAAAAGTGCTCATCAGCTGTCATACAAACATACATAGAAATATTCAAAGTTGAAAACATATCTCGATCTCATGCTTAGCGGTGAGATATCCCTCACAACAATCGGCAAATACATTTTCGGATTGCTGCAGTTCTTCCCAACAAAGCTCTAAAGCTTTCAACTCTCTTATGCTTATATTCTGTAAGGCCAGTTGATCTTGAGTAGACAATAGACATAGTTGAGAGCTGACTATCGCGGCATGCATCTTGGCAAATGCAGTCGCCATCCCAATAAGCATGCCCTTACACTCGATCGGCTTCATCGAAACGCGCAGCATATAGACCGCGAATTCTGAGGGACAAATCTGAAGAACGTGCTTAAGCGAAGGAAGCGCATTGAGAGAGAGACCCTGCTGAGCCATCATGTTTTTGCCAACCCCAGCGAGTCCGAGGCTATTCGGTCGTCGGACTTCACTCATTCCTGCCACACATTCCTGTTCAATATCAAATCCTAATTGGGCCCGCAGAATCTTGACGATCGTACAGGCAAAATTGTTCTTGGTTCTCCAGGGGGTCGAGACAAACTCTTGCAGGAGGCAAGGATGGGAAAGCCAAAGGGGAAGAAACCTGTCGAATGTCGGACGACCGCCGATGTTCAAAGGTGGAATATCACGAAAGGAGAACAATGTTTTCGCTGGGCGTGGTGAGGGAGAATGTGAAAACCTGAATTCCGGGTACCCTGAGAGGATAGTCTCATCATTCAAGTTGCTACTATCCCGTATTTGGTAAGGGATGTTTGGGGTTTGCGGTATCTCGGAAAGGCCGTCAATCCATTTTCGCAAGATATCGTATTCGTCTTGGGTAAAGGAGCCAAACATTCTTCCATTCCATTGCAATTCGTGAATAAAGCGGCTTTTGCTACTGTCTCCTCTGCGAATCCAGTACTTCGCGCAGCTCAGGGAGTTGAGTAGCTCCAGCTGCCACCTTTTGGATTCGAGTGCTGTAGGCTCAAGCCATTCGGTGATGGTCCGGGATCCGATTTTGATTTTGCTACTGCAATGAATTCCATGTACGACCTGTGCCTTAGCCTTGAAAATCCTTATAACTTCCATTTCGATTGGGTTCAGAATAACTCTAGACTCATCCATAGGCATTCTAGAAGGACAGACAACTGTTCCTGGTAAACCCACTGACAGCATGTAGCCCGTTTGAATTCTTTTCCATGCCCTTTGTGCAGCCTCTTCTCCTTCCACTTCAAGTATACAGTTCATGTACTCGCAAGCGACATCTATGGCAATCGCTGTATGACCTGAATCGGCATTGTCGATCGATATATGGAGAATGAAGTAGTACGGATCTATGCCAACTTCTTTCAATTCCTTTGCTGCCTTCAGTGTGTCCATGGATACGGCTTCAAAATGAAGATTGAATCCCAAAATCTCTGGCAGAAATTCGCTGGGAAACAGAGAGACGAGCAGTTGAGCTATTGCAGATTTCCATACAGAAATTTCGTTTAACCCATGCTCTGGGTCACCAAATTCGATCGTGTCGGCCGTCGGAAAACCTGGTGCAACTTTTTCCAGAAGTTTGTGGTACAGAAATACATGGTTTTTCGCCAAGTCCCCGTCCCCCAACTCCTCGGATAAGATCTGCCATGCCCCTTTCATGGTTTTCTGAAGTGCAAATGGCGTGGTCACCTTGGCTACATGACCCAACCAAGCACCGTCAACATACTTGATAGGAGCAATTTGCTTCAACCACCAGATTGCCTCATCTCGGTCCTCAAATAACTCCCGTGCTCCCCCTTCGTTCCTTCGAAGTACATAATCTTGCCACCTCTTGCCAATGTTGATATCCCGTTTGCGTTGGAATTCCTCTAGAGCTTGTCGCGAGAATGACTGAACTGATAAACTGTTTTCATTCTCTGGTAGCCCCTGGGATGTGATACCAGTCTCCATTAATAAGCGGAGCAAAGTTGTCTTCGCTTGGGGAAGCGCATCTGGGAACTTCTCGATGTTGTGCAATTGGTAGTATAGGCGCTTGAGCAGTTTGAGTTCGTCTGTGTGGGCATCATCGCTATCTTTGCTGTGCCACTGCTCATATACCTCCACATGTTCTGCTATTGGATTGACAGTAGACGACGTATGAATACTAGGCTTTGGAGCGCGACTTATTCGGAACCAAATGTTTGACCAGTGTTGACTCAAAAGCATGAAAACAGTAGCCGTGGCGATACAGAAATATCCCAGGGGTCCCAGGGTGTATGTGAAGAGAGACTCCATATCGAGTGGTGGGAGGTGGAACGCTCCAGCGAAGTGGAGGAAACTGGCCAACTATATGGCATATCACCTTTTCAAACCTCGAATTCATTGCTATGCCGAAATATCTGCGTACAAGGATCTACGATTTATCAACGATCAATCGCAGCTCAATTTCCTTTTGCAAACCCTTTCACATGTACACCTTGCTTTTGCCTCGCCCAACCCCTGACATGCACACTTAACCACAATGGCGGTGTTTCGCGAGTGAAATTTGTCATTAACTCAAAATCTTGAAGAAAAGGGTACAAATGGTGCAATACTAGTGCCACTGAAGGCATCAATACTTCACTACAAAACGAGTACAACTTTCACGGCAATCATATGGTACTTCAATTTCTACCAGGACTTGTTTAGCAACTTCCCTTTTTACTTGACCTCAAACCCAGACCAAAAGAGAGACACTACTCCAGCTGCCAAATGTATAGCTCCAAGAGAGATTGGAGACTAAGCTCAATTATCGGAGTTCCACTTCTCCACTAAAACCGTCTCAGGCCTGAGGAAGTAGCTGAAGTAGTACCGGTTCTTTGAGCCATCAAAAGGCTGTGTGACTCTGTGTTTTGCCGAGTGGAACCTTCCACCCGACAATTTCTGCAGTGAGTTCGCAACATTGATGAGAGCACAGCCTTCCATTGGAGGGGTGAAAGCCCACGAGTTGACATTCGGCAAAAAGGCGTTCAACCCCCAATCCTTGTAGAATAAAAGTGTGAGAGTTCCGTCATCTGTGTGCCAGCCATCGGGTGCGTCGGACTTCTTGGCAACTGAGGGATGCAAGACTACCTTGAGTCCAGTATCACTTGGACTGTGGGGCTGGTGATGCACTGAGAGGTTTGCGGCGAGACATTTGAGCAACGTTAGGCAAGCATCGTCGCAGTCGGAGGCGATTTCTGTGACCCTCTCCCACTCGTTTTGCCATAGTTGGGGGAGTTGCGGAATGGACTCGACCGGCAGAGTCATCTCGTCCCGTGAGATCTGACGCGTGGTATTAGCAATTGGAAGATGAGCATGTTGATGATTATTTTGGGATATTCTACCTCAAATGACTCCCCGCCGTAGCCCCTTTTCCATCCAAGATCCTGCCATGCTTTGATATCAAACCTCGCATCTTTTGCTTTAACTTCCTCGGGCTGTCCAAAGTAGCTCTCGACTAGTCTTTGTATTGCTGGGAGATGTGCGAGCACACGTTCACCCTTGTAATCACCACGAAGGTCAAGGTAAAAGAAGCCGACGTTGGACGCTGCTTCATCAAGGAGAGCCAGTTCAGCTTGCTCGTTTTCACGTAGTTTGGCGAGTGAGATAACCGGGAGCTTGGCCACATGGATGCCCTGTTCCTCCATAAATTCTGCGGTCTCTGAAATACAGCTGGCCATGCTCATTGGAATAATCGAATCTTGTAAAGTGTGGATGTTGCGTTGCGCTGTGTCCGGAGGCTTTGGAAAAGGTTCTTTTTATGGGATTTTTATCGACTCCCCATACATCACCATTGACGATATCCGATTTAAAGACTTAATGCTTCCCTCGGGTCCTACAGTGTAGGTAACGTGTTTTGTTTGACTGACGGTTGATGCAATCTGCGGGAAATGAGGAGCCTCGAAGTGTACACTGTGGTTGAGTAAGTGTTACCATTTCATCAAGAGAAATGAAGAGGAACATCACTTACAAGGATTACTGGCATTCCCAGGTTCAAAATCGGGTAGTGAGGCGTGGAAGAAGCGATGATTTGAAATCAAAAACTGCAAGAAATATTGGTGTCACAATCAACGCGGGAATCAGTGCCCATAATTGTGTGAGCAGTCAATTCCTTTACTAAAGACTATCGTCGATCCTTTGGGAGACATAGGAACGCGATAACACCACCAAAAACGCAATTCAAACTTCCTACATTACGTCTTACAACCACACACCGCACGAAAATAATGTTGACTTAATTTTCGTTCAATTCATCTTTTGTAAATTATCTGCTATATAGAGCCTGCTCTATACTTTTCTTTTTGGATTGCCTCCTTCTGTAATTATAAATAATGGCAGTGGACGAAGCGACTCTTTTGCTTGCACAGCATACATCGGAAGGACAAGACGGGAAGACAACGGTAGTGGGAAAAGCCAATCAAGGGTTTGCACTATGGCAAGCAGGAGCACTATGCGGTACGCAAAAGCGCCATTTTGTTGCCTGATCATACATATGCACAGTTTTGAACTGACAAAGTCTACAGGTATTCTACTTGCATGTGCTGACACATCGTTGGTATGGGCAATTCATGAGACCATAGCTTCACGTTTTGGTTGTTTGGAGTATTCGTCATGGATGATGACTAGCTTCACATTGGGGTATTGTGTGACTCTACCTTTAGTATGTTTATTTTGACCTTTTTCTGGAAGCACGTACTATTCTAAGAGTTTGGGTATATCCCAACAGTTCTTTTGCTGATTACCACAATTTGTTAAAAGTACACACGATTGAGTGACGATTATGGTCGCTATGGACCTTTGATTGCGGCCTACTGTACCTTCTGTATTGGCTGCTCAATCTGGTAAGTTGGAGGATCTATCTTGTCATACAGTAGCTTCTCCTATTGCTCCAACTTAGCGAAGGCGTGAACGTATGCTAATGCAAGAACAGTGGTTTTGGTCAAGCTTATTGGCAGATCATACTGGGACGAATCATCATCGGGTGTGGAGCATCCGGGATAATATCGTTGGCTTCTGTTATAATCACTGGTAAGTTAATATCAAGTTATCAATCTCTCGCTTCGCTCTTTATCTTTTTTCTTTCCCAAAAAGACGATATAAGCTGATCGGAGTTCTCACACAGATATTGCTGCACCATCAGATGTAGCGGTTCTAAGGAGTTATGTTAATGTAGCCTCAACGGTTGGATTCTCAGTCGGTGGCCCTCTTGGGGGATTTCTAAGCTCAACCATCGGTTGGAGATGGTAAATAAAGTCTCACTTTTAACGATAGAGCAAACAAGCATTGACTTTAGCAGGTCATTTCTAGGCCAAGTTCCAATTGCGACCGGTTGTTGCATTGTCATTGTTCGAGGCGTCAGAAAACAATTATCGAAATACAAAGAAACTACACGGCAGCCGCAAGGTACAGAAAATGAGTCAAATACAGATGGATTAGCGTTTGACTTCCCAGGGGCTATCAGCTTTGCTTTCTGGATGTCCTCGCTTCTTGTTGTTATAGACCTGCAACACCACCTTTCTTGGGGACACCCTCTTGTTCTCAGTATAACAATTGTGGGATCAATTTCATTTCTATCCTTCATTTTGTTTGAGACTTTTCCCGGAAAACGAGAACTTTTGATACCCTTGCGACTTTTGAAGACAGAGATTGGAGCCTTTTGTGCTGGACAGGCGAGTAATGCTTTTTCATAGCATAGTCCCTTGCAGAATGATGCGTTAATTTCTAATTTCTGGCTCATCTTATACGCTAACCACGGACGTATAATAGCTACTTATAGTTGGAAGCGGCTACGGTGTATGTTCTACTCTATATCTAATTACCTCGCCCTTTTTTATAGCTTGGCTAAGATAGATCTTATAGCTTGTTTCTCAGATACCACCATACTTTGCAAATACACAAGGCGCATCGAACGGAAAAGCAGGGGCACGTACAATCCCCTATAGTGTCGGTAACGCGATGGGCAATCTTATCGCAGGTCAAGTAACTAGAAAGTATGCTTACAATATTTTTGTTCGTAGCTCGAATTTCTAACAAGAAATTTCCTTAGGATTGGGAAATATAAAAGGCTTTCCCTCGTGTCTCTCCTGCTTTGTATCGCCAATTCCCTCTTGATAATCTTCCAGTGGTCTCACTCTCTAGGTAGGTAAATCAGACACCCCTTGCCAAGAGTCTCTGTGCTCTACTACGTCCTAGTCACTTCCAGTTGGGATTATCATTGAACAAAACTGTTAGTCTGCGGCAATAATTCAGTTTGAAGAAAGATATTTCCGAGAAGAGTTTAACTAACAGATCAATCTTATTTTAGGCACATGGGATATTCTAACCACTCTGCCATTGGGCCTCTTTGGCGGCATGATTCTTTCTTCACAATTCATCGGAATGTATCACAATGCACCTAAGGAACAAATGGCGACGGCTATAGGAATGTACTACATGAGTCAGCAAGTGGGGATAGCCCTAGGAATTACCCTTACTTCAAGTCTTTTCAAGCAACAATTCGAGGCAACGCTGAAAGATACGCTAGCGAACGTACCTCGGTATGAAGAAGTAAGTAATATATGTATCATTTAGGATAAGAAGTTTTCTAACCTGTCTTGGATAGATCATCAAAGTCATCCTGAGGGATTCTTCTGCCATTGCATTACTACCTACGGGAGTCAGATATTTAGTATCACAGAGTTATCTCAGAAGCTTCTGGGTTGTGCCGGGTATGATTCCAACTTTGCTTATTGTTCGTGACCATGTTATTCGGACAGCTAATGTATGTTTAGTATCAATCACTGTCATGGAAGCGCTCGCTATTCTGCCCATGATTTCTACCACAGAGAAATACTCAACTTAGCCAACAATGGCCATAGAATTGTTAATGTATAACGACACTATTTCAAGAAACGCTAAAACCATTGGCCTTGCGGCACAGTAGGAAGGATCTTGAGTACTTGAATTCTCGCGAATAGTCCAAGAATAATCAATGTATAAGTAGCCCACAAACTTTTCTTTAGTTCGATTATTTATAACTTCTCAGTCAGTCGAGAATAAGACACAGCCACGTCTGCGTCGTGTTGGTCGTTGGTGCCAAGAGATAAAATTTGTATTCTTGTGAACACTGTATCTTCTCGTCTCGCTCACATGCGATGAGAGGTTTCCGTATACCTAGCATTAAGCAACAATGTCCATATATATACTTATTATGACGGAAACTCATCATCGTGTCAGAGTAATCCATATACACGATGCTAAAAAGATAGACTTGTAGCTGAGGCATTTTCGAGTGATAACCCGATTTTAGGCGAACCGGCAAAGGCAAATGTGGGATTTGTTCCTTGTAGACTATTAACACATTCATGGCTAGAAGGACCAGAATATTATTTTTATGAAGTCAATTTGCTCAAGTACAGTACAACGCTCTTGCCGACAGTGGATGGGGCAGCAGTACTAGCGAGCTAAGCGATAAGCCATCCCCATCTAAATATCCAGAAATCATTTCTTCTCGTTACTGATTCTCTCCCCCCTTTGCTGACGTCCTTCACTATTTGGATCATAAAACGCTGGCTCATTTTCAGTAACTATTTGACAATTGTTGGACAGATGTGGACTCACGTTTTTCTCCAAAAACAGTAGTTCGTATTCCTCTTCTTGCGCCCATAGGGTAGGTCCCCGGTATCACCCGATGGAGTGTTACTCTCTGAATTTATTTCAGCTTTGTTAGCTCAGATATCGGATTGTCAGAATTCTTACGTTGTCCCATATAGCAATACTTCCCACTGCCCACTTCCATCTGACGTAGTGATCATCTGAACTATTGATGTGTAAATTCAAGAACTGCATCAGAGCATCTGATTCCATCTTCTTTAGCTCAGCAAATCCAGTGCAGTAGGCGAGATTCACGTTGAGGGCTTTCAGGCCAGTCACAGGATGAGTACGAACTGCTGGATGGTGAGTATCGATTGGTGGGCGGTTAGGCTTGTCACCGAAGTAGTCCTGTTAGAACTGGGTCAGTCATTCATTCACCCAAACTCTTAAATATCAACCTTCATGAATGCCTATAATTGTCTTACAGGCAGTGGAACTATTAAATGAACGTGATATGCCATCAAATATAGGGAAGGATTGCAATGGTGGTACTGTACTTACGATAGTAGTATCATACTGAAGACGAGAGGTATGTACTGCATGAAGGCCTTCAAATAGGGCTTGCATCTGGGGAGTCAACTCGTCGTAAAGACCGTACTGAGATACCCAGGCAGTATCTCCACCAACTTCCGGATGCTCTTCCATACGGAGAAGGGAATAGCTGGGTGCTGTTTTCAATCAGAAAAGGTACGAGAAGGGACAGAAATGGCCGAAGTAACACGTACGGTTGATCTCAAAGCTTGTATCCGCATGAAACTCCATCATCGGCCATGGTGTATACTTCGACACAGTTCTCCAATCCGCGTTGCTTCCTCGCACTATGAAATGTTTTCCACCTCCCTAAATCCGTTAGAAAATAAATTCCTTTCCATTTTCTCCTGCAAAAGGAGCTCCGAGCTCCAGGCAGAGTAGTACCTGCTGTGTAGTATGTTTGTCCAAAACCCCAAAATGCTCGAAGATCTCAACCTGCCGCTCTGTTGTCAAGTCTTGGTCTCTGAAAAAGACCACACCGCGTTCATTGACCAACGCAGCTAATTCATCCAATTGCTGGTTGTTCAGCTGGCTCAGTTGAACATCTTTCAGCTCAGTACCTTAGCCCCAGTTAGTACTTCTCGGACGGAGACATGTTGGATTGGGGGATATGCTACCGATGCTTTCAGTCAGGTCAACTTGCTTGGCAACAGAAAACAATGATTTCTTCTCTGTGTCGGCATATGAACCCCTATCTTTGGGAGGTGTGAATTCTTTATGAGGGGGGTCTTGAGGAATATGATCCTTGATCTTGGGGTTGTAGTTAGCATGCACCACAGTCGGAAACCCCGAGTCGGGTGAGATGTGTTTATAGGCTTCAAGAGTCTCGATTTGCGCGGGTCGAAACTTTGCCATTGTAGTGTTTGTTGACTCGTAGAAAAGATTCAAAGATACCGCAATGCAAAATGGAAGAGGAGATGATTTTTATTTTGATAAAGGTATCGATGAAGACTATGCTACTCTCTCAATCATGGGAGAAGATTGGCAAACTCCCGAATCATTAGCTCTGCAAATCAGTACTACTGTCAGTTATTTCCTTTGTTGTCTGCTTGATTAGTAAGAATTTGGGAATGAAAGGTTACTCTGTAGCGGTTAATGTTATGCCGCATACGAGGTACCGTTGTTCCACATACACAGAGTGCTGGGCAGTGTTCCACATGCTCGGGACGCATTGTCACTCGAGTAGAACCTCGGGAGGAAACGAAAAACAACACCTGCGAGAATCCGATCTCGATTTCCAACTGCATATTAACCACTGACACGTAGACGGACTTGCTTTGCAGTGTGAGGCATAGTACTGTGTAAAACCAGAGAATTGATTTGTAATACCTTTGGTCATTGTAACCAAATCCCTCCTGTCACCGTTGCCATGTGTGACAATTCAAACTCGACTTCACAGACTTTGACCTGGGTGTTGGGTTCATATCACAAACGTCACCGCTACTTGGGTTATTTTCGACTTCAGGTATTTCAGGCATTGTTGTCAGTAAGGGATTGAAATACTGACATTCTTTCTCATTGCTTATGCTACCTGTGCGCCGAAATGGAGCATCGATTTCCATCGATTTCACCTTTCCTTGAATTAATCGAGCAGGAAAGACGAAGCCCCAACAAGATCATACTTCGAGATCATACCTCAGGAGTGACAGTAACAGCTGGGCAGCTATTGTATAGTGTTTCTCTGCTGCGTAATAAATTGGATAAAGCACTACTACATAATGGCTACTATGAATCCGAACATAACGGGGAGAAGTTCATCTTCCTGATTGCTCCCCCAGGCGTGCAATATCTGGTATCAATGCTCACTATTTTCTCTCTTGCAGCCGGAATGTCGGCACAGTGTAAGTCTTTACTCTTGATGGATAACTCACGATGCTTATTCCGAGTTAGCGATTGTTGTAAGGCCAGAGGAGGTGAAAGCGCACTTCAAGGTCGCTAGACCTATCGGACTACTCTACGCGCCAGCCTTTGCTCAGAAGGCTGAGGCCATCAAGAAATTATGTGCTGAAAGTGACAGCGGAATTGATCCAAACCTGCCATATGTGGAAATCGAGACTTCTTTCCCCGGAAGTTTTGAATCCCACACTTACGTCCTAGAAGAACCATTCGAGACGGATCTTCTTCGCCTAGGTACTTTGTTCTTTACTTCAGGAACCTCTGGAGCTCAAAAAGGCGTTGTTCACTCCTACGAGGCTCTCTTAGCATCTGCGCGGGAGCGAATAGAAACCTGGAAATTGACAGAGAACGACGTGCTCCTCAACCAAAAGCCAGGGAATTGGATGGGCGGGATTTTTGGAATTATTCCGAGCTTGATGGCTGGCTCTTGCTTGTAAGTTGCACTCAAATCTTCTTTATTGGAGCGTTGACTTGCACTTCAAGGAGTGAATCTTTGATCTTTCTGAATTTTGCTAAGTCTACTTACTTGGCCAACAGAGAGACCTGTATAGATGTCTTTAACCCCAAATGGTTCTGGGAACGCATCAGCAAGGGGGACGTAAGTATCTTTGATATCGCACCCACAGGTTATGACAGGCTTGCCCAGTACTTTGATGAGCACATTGCTGTACTCCCTCACGCCCAAAAGGAGAAGTACATCCGTGGAATGATTGCGACACGATGCGCAGGTGTTACAGGATCATTAATCCAACCACGTATCCAAGAGAGATGGACCAAGCTTCGTCGTGGAAAACCACTGTTGAACTTTCTTGGTTCGACAGAGGTAACACTGATATGCAATATGAAATGGGAGAATCCCGATTATCCAGATATGGTAGATCTTCTATATCTTCAAAAGCTGTATGGGAAAGCTGATTTGATACCAGTGCTCAGTTGGCCCGGCGGTGCCAGGAGTCGAAGTCAAACTCGTGGAAGGAGAGATGCGGCTCAAGGCCCCAACAATGTTTTCGCAGTAAGAACCATGACTCACGTACTCTGGTTCATTGCTCAAACAATACCACTAACACTGAAACCAAGCTATATTTCTGATGATCCCGCTCAAACCAGGAAAGCTTTCGATGAGGAAGGGTTCTTCAAGACCGGTGATTGTGCTGAAAAGGTTGGAGACTGCTATGTAATCCACGGTCGAGCGAACATTGATGGTTTTGAAACCCACTCCCAAGATTCAATAAAATAGCTTCTAACTTTACTCATAGTACTGCACTTCTGGGGCTTCACAGTACATACTGGCGAAGTTGAAAACGCCCTTTCCAGCCTCCCATACATCGCCAATGCCGTTGCTTTCCCCATTGAAGATGAAAAATGCCAGGAGCGCACGGCCGCTGTTCTCGAAATCAAGCCTGGTTTCCAAGCAAGGCAACCAGACCTGCAAAGAATCCGTGCTGACTTGAAAGAAAAGACGGGCTTGTTTCTTTTCAAGTATCCTACGGTGATTTATTGGCTTCGTGAGGGAGAAGATATCCCAGAAACATCAAATGGGAAAATTTCTAAAAAGGAAGCCCGGAAGAAGTTTTTTGGTGATAGATGGCAGCATAATGAGAACCTGGAGATCCTAGATCTAAAGGGCATGGAGTACTGGCGCATGGGTGGCCTTAGTTAAGCAAGGACCACATGGATTCCTTAGATCTAGAGTGTATGGTAATAGAATGGTACAGCACACTGAGCCGTCAGAGGGTGTTTCGTGTATGAAAATATGCACTGCGTTATGATATGACAAGAATTGTGGTTGAAACGATTGTATAAGTGAATCCAACTCAGGTTGCCTTACGAGTAAATACAGCGCGTCCTCGGCTAATCTGGCGCGGACCCTCGCTTAGCGACCGCCCGGAAATTTACGGTACATAACTGTAACAAGATATTGCCTCGCCTATAGCCAATAATGCACTTACTGTTACTAGTGGGCTATACAGATTTGTTTCTAGTGTATTGTAATTATTTACGGGGAAAATGATATTGGAACTCACAAATCCACTCCAAGTGAATGAAACTAGCGTTTCACGTCCTAAGATAAGAGGTAGAATTAATGTTACTGTATGCCATCCCGCTTTTTGCTTCCAAATTGAAGCTTTTTGACTGGATGTGACTGTACCTGAGAAATAGAAACCCCAATATCAAGAGCGAAGTAAAGTCTTATTCAAGATGAAGTGAGGTCTAGGATTCCATTGCACTCGACGCAATCACACCCAAAATTGCTGTCAATAGCTTTACTCTATATATCGCACAATCACCCTATGTTCTTGGGTGATATGGTTCCTAATTAGGTCTACTTATAGATTATTTGATGAACAATTCGGATGAAGAAATTCTTTTTTGTAGAATTTACACAAGCTCACGAACAGCGACCTTGAGGAATTCCCAGGATGGAGAGTAGGGGGTGGTTCGACACACAATATTCCTGGATTCTGATTCTCAGCAGATAGTGTAAATGGTAATTAATAAGTGTATACCACAAACTGCTAGCCATCATCGCATTTGGTCAATTGTGATCAGTGAAACCTTCTGTAGATCACATCTGCAAATCTCATTAAGTTCAACCCTCCCCATTTCATCAAAGTCACAGTAAACGACACTCGACACATGCTTCTGGTTCGCTTCCTCTCCAAATCTTTTCGATGCTCAAACCAACTTTTGCCAAAAGCTCCTTCCATTGACTCTCCGTCCTCTCCATTCCTCCCATCGGAAACATAGAAACGTCCATAATAGCCTGTTGCATTGTACTATTCATGTCAGGTAATACCACATCAACCAGAAGCAATTTGCTTCTCAACTGTTCCCGCAGGAGCGGCACAATCTGTCCCAGAAATGTGATACAATCACCGTCACTCCAATTGTGAATGATATGACGATAGTGATAAATGAGGGCGTTTTTGACGGGTTGAGGAGTGAAGATGTCGTATGTCATGAGCTCGATTCCGACAGGTGGAGCAGACATAGCTTTGAAGGTGGAGGACAAGTCCTGTACAATGAACCTTCCTTTGATATTTGGGTTCCTTTCTCGGACTTCTTCCATTGTATGACCTTTTCCTCCTGCAACATCCACGACCGCAATATCTTCAGCTTTGGAACCCATCTTCTCAAGCTCGATAGCCCAAGGATAGGCATTCAAAGGAGCGTGCGAACGCATGCCGGCAACCATATTCGCTGCTCGATCGGGATGGGATCCTAGCCAAGTCCAAAGTTCTTCGCCGTGAGCCCATTTAAAAGGCGTCCCTGTCTCCTTGCTAGGTGCTTTATACTGGTGCTCTTCGAGAGTTCGAGGCATTGCCATGATCGCCGGGATCAAATCATAGAACATGAAATTGCTGAATGCTCGATGGTCTGGATGGAGATATGGTTTTCCGAGAGGTGTGATAGTAAAGTTTGGCCCCGCAGATTCAGTAAAGATATTGGCGGCTGTAAGCTGGCGAAATACACGAACGAGAAGAGAGTAAGTACCAGGAATTCTGTAAGACGTTTGGATGTACTCACTGAGGACAATCTTGTCTGCCTTGGTGGATTCTACCATTCCGTCCAGAGCGACAGCTTTTCCTCCCTCGAACTTTTCCCATAATTCAAGCTGTGATATGACCTCCACGGCAGCGCTTACATTGACCTGCCACAGTGAATTAGTACAGAAAATATACATGGAATTATCTCTTGTTTTCAACAGGGTAACCCTACTTGAAAAGATCGTGGCCAAACCTCTCCATTTGGCTCTTCTAAGGACTGAAGAAGTTTCCGAGTCGCATGCTGAAGATTCCGTCGAGCAGTATGAATATCGCCGTCCTTGGCAGCATGGAAATCGGCCCCTGCTTTTTCAACGTCCTCTACCAAAGGTGCAATTTCTGGTTGGGATATGTGCGCGTCTGCCATGATGGCAACAAAAGTCAACAAGACGGTCCAGGGATAAGTAAACAAGAAGTGTTGTCCAAGACGTAAATTTTATAACAGGAAAATTGCGCAGATTTAGGAAGAACTTTAGCGAATTGTATTGTATATTATCTAAAAGGCTCCATAGGCTCTATTGTGATCAAATTTTATGTGACTTAATGCAGGTAGGTTGTCGCAGTGGAACCTACCTGTAGCCTGTAAGATTTTGAAATTTTTCGCGACGCAGAACAATACTCCATTCTTTCGGTACTTGATATCGCTCGGTTGATCTTTGATGTTGTAGGCAGAGTTGGCAGTCAGCGGTGTTACCTCTGTATGGAATGCAAAGCAACAGCATGCGGTGAAAACAAATTAAACATATCAATTGTGTCACAATTTGTCACACGAAATTTGAGAGAGCGTGCAGGAGCTTCTCGTAATTATTCAGTGTCCATTATCTTCCACCCCTCTGCGCTTGAAGAATGCGCCATACATCTCTGTCCACCCCTCCTAGCGTTATCCACAACCGCCAGAATGGTTTCCTGCCGCAATGTTCTTCCAGCCAATATCAATCATTACCGATACTCCTCATCAATAACAACGAGTCCTTGAACCCCAACATCATTCACAACTTTAGTGTCTACAATGAAAGTCGCAATAAAAGTTGCTGGCTCAGTGGCGCTAGCATTTTGACAGGTCCTATGCCTGCAAGTTGGTTTCTCAAACATGAATTGTCCGGGCCCCAAGACTTCCATCGGATTATCGTTCATTTTGTTGAAAATATAGCCCGACACGATGTTGGCAGAAATATGTGCACCAGCGTGGGTATGAGGAGGAATAGCGCCGTTTGGTGGATAAGAAATCTGAAAAACGACTATTGTCTTCTCAGGGAAGTTTGGAATGGGATTCTGATAGAGCGATTGAACACTTGGGAACGGGCGGCTTCATAATATGTTAGATGTTGCAAGGTCAAACAGTTCAAAGATGAGACCCAGATGGGAAGAGTCAACAAACCTTGAGTCGTATTTAGGCTCCGATGCTGGAAGTTGTGGTCTGGGTTGATCCATATCGAAACAATAGGTTTGAATGTGTTGATGTTGTTTTATATCACAAGATATTTTGTGCTTGAGGTCGATTTTTCACACGGAAGACTCTGGGGTGTATATACCTAGCTCTATAAGGATAATTTTCAACAGGCTATAGTATATGATGATGTATCCCAGCTCTGCCTATAATAAGACATGCAGGATATCATTTTCACATCGACATGTCCAAATGGCTATCTTATTCTGTACTACTCTCTTGAGGTTGGTATTGAAACTTTTACGTCACTTGATACATGAAGTTAAACAACAATACTATAAACTTGATTCGCAAACTAAATGAGTGAGCATTGCCTCCAGGAGCGAATGTCTCCGGTATTTGGCGTTATGTAACCCAGATTCCAAGTTTCCACTGTTCGCGACTGGTTTGAAGAGTTTTCAAAACAATCCATTACCCACGGTAACCTCATGACTGCATACATGACGATCTGTGGAATAGACGAGCTTAGCTTGTGCGCAGTGAAAAGTAAAATGCTGCCCAGGTCTATGAGATTGTCACAGCGTTCATGTAGTAACAACAGTGTGGCGGAAAGGACCACTATGACCAATTCAGGTGTGAAGAGTCTTACACACTGTAACTTTCTGTTTCTGTTGATTGGCATAAGTCTGTTCGTATGCTTAGCCAAGTAGTGGCATGTTGTACCACAATAAATTGGTGCTTGTAGTACATTGTGGCATTATCAAGCAGTGACACGATATCATGAAACAAAGAACATACTCTGTGTTTTCGCCGAGTGGTGGCGATGTAACCTACCACAGTAGTGACACATAGTGCTCGTGAAAGAGCAACACAGATATTTGTGCTACTATACTTGAGCATCATTGGTACTTCAAATCTAATAATTGTTATTCTGTGTATTATGTTACTATTGGGAGGACACCCCATCATCACACCCCTTACTTCCGGAGCAATGACGTTCTCCCAAACGAAGTGTCACTGCATATCACACATCAGTATGCCAGTCGCCTCATGGAAAAAGCCTGATATACTTGAATAGTTTGTTGGAGCGGTACGAGTCAATAAGTAAAGTCTTCAAGAGTTCGTGCATGGTCACATATCTGCCTGATTTCTTGCAGAGATACCTCGACCTTCTAGGTAACGCCAAGAAGAACATATCAACATAGGTGACCACGAAGGTTGTTCTGTGGTCACATGTCAGCACCCTCCTAAAGTTAAACGAGATGTTGAGTACGCGTGGCTGTTCATCAACTCTTTTAGTCGAAGACATCTACGCTGATTTACGTTCGTACGTTCAAGTCTTCCGTGGTTTGGGATTTACCAATGACAGTCCTAGGGGTGGTCACCTTTGGCACGTGGAAACCAGCAATGGATGAACCAGTTAAGGACAGCACTACACCGAGAAAGAGTAGAAAGGTGCTTTCCAAAGCTTTTAGTCTCTAGCAGTGATGTTAGAAATTTGGGTTTCGAGCCTATAAAGTGCTTCTTATTGTGGTTCTCGTATAACCTTGCTGTGTCTTTTGTAGACGATACGGGAAACATGACGACCTTCGGTGGAGTTTAGAGAATATTGCTTTTGAGAAACAGGAGTATCTTGATTGGGGCGATTGTAAACTTGAGAGCCAAGAATCCGAACGATTTCCGCGATCCATTCATTGGCGTAGAAAGTAGAAAAAGCAATCTGCTACGAAAACCCGGGGCCCCATGTATGTACATAATGGGCGCCCATACTGTAATACTGGGTGCACGTGTGATGAAGTTAATCGTTTTGTCTACTCATGGTGGATAGTTCCGGGTGGATGTGGCACTTTGGGCGTATTTCAGAAGTTGTACGTCGTACAAGAAGTTTTGGGCTCCTATGAAGTCTGACTTTCGAAGCATGTGAGCCTCAGAAGTATTTTGCCTTTAGCTAACTCCGGCGTATCGGCTCAAGTACTGTACATATTCAGGGGAACGTAATACCAGTGATAGCGCATTTCTTAAGTAGGCGACGACCATCAGTCAATATGGCAGGTTGTGACTGAGTGGCGTAGAAAGTTCGGCCAAGAGAGCTATCTATCCTTAGCTTTGGTGTACGATGCTTGGATGTAGAAGAATCTATGTAGCATTATCAATATTGTAAAAAGTTTACACAAGTATGGTCACAAAGTAGAGCTATGTAGATCACGAAAAATACAATCCGATTGTGCGTGGAGGTCCATGAACAGTCAAATATTAAATAAAACATTGAAGAATCGTAACAGTCGATCAGATTACGTAGGTTCTTGGTTGATCTAGATTGTAATCAATGCTTTGATTTAAATACTGTAGCTCGAGGTCGTGATATTGTGTTTTCCCTCCATCATTCACCTTTGCAAACCTTCAAAATCCAAAATGCTTTTCCTTCAAAGAATCCTTCCCCTTCTTTCTGTCTTGCTGGTAGGGTTGATACAACTGGCACGCGCAGAAACAGTTGTCCACGATGAATCCTTCGTTCCCGATATGTCACTTAGTGTTACCATGGAGGAAAAGAAGTTTTCTTGTATATCCTCCAGAAAGGTTTTGCTAGTTAATGGAACCAGTCCAGGGCCTGAGTTGAGGTTTAAGGAGGGGAAGACAGTGTGGATTAGGGTTTACAACAATATTCCTAATCAGAATCTTACTATGGTAATTATTATATCTATCAGACACTCCTACATGCATCTTTACAACATCTCATATTATAACTGTGCTCTTACTTCTTTCTTTCCTTTTCCAATCAAGATCCGGAAATTGATATGGAACATAGGAGATGGCTAGAAATTTCTCAACTGACATTTTGGATACATAGCACTGGCACGGACTTACATTAGCAACCGCCCCGTTTTCCGACGGAACCCCTGCAGCAGCTCAATGGCCAATTCCTTCTGGCCATTTCTATGACTACCAGCTCTTTGTTCCAGTTGGAATGGCTGGAACATACTTTTATCATTCTCATGTGGGTCTTCAGGCCAATGCCTGCACTGGACCTTTAGTTGTAAGGAATTCCACCCCTTCTGTCAAGACCGCCTAGCAGGATGCTATTTGCTCGAGTCCTCTACCCCTTTTGAAGTCATTCTACTCACTCATTCGAAGATTGTTGATAAAGACCACCCTCCATACCATTATGATGAAGAACGCATTGTCTTTGTGCAAGACGTTTTTGAAGAAACTGACAAACAGCTTGAGGAATTACTAACAGCTGTGCCGATGGACTATGAGGGGTTTCAAGCCATGGTACTCATTAATGGCAAGGGTGCGGGATCAATTGAAGGCGGTGCGGTTTGCAACGAGAGTATATCTGTCATTAATGTCCAACCAGGGAAAACCTATAGGTTGCGACTGATAGGTGGAACCGGGTTATCATTTGACACGATGGCTATCGAAGGTCATGAGGACCTCCAGGTCATTGAGGCTGATGGGTATGTGTCAATTGCCATAATTTCGCCCCCGCCTCTTCTCATATCCCTATTTTGGCATGTTAAGTCTAAGATACTAACATTTTGAGACAACAGAGCCTACACTGATAAACACAGTACGTCATTTATGCAAATAGGCCCTGGACAGAGGTTCAGCTTTCTCCTTCACACCAAGAGGAAGCCCGAGAAACAACAATACTACCTACAACTTGAGACACGCGAGTTTGGCAACACTACTAGGTCGTACGCAGTTATCAACTATGGTTCCCATATAAACAGCACAACTTCCAAATTTTACCCACCACCAAAACCTCCTCTCACTTTACCACCCACCGATAGAAACTTCCTCGAGTACCAACTTCGCCCCCACCACAGTGACACATATAATTCTAGGCAAATGCCAACCGCAGAAGAGGTCACCCGCAGAGTGAACATCACAGTCCATTTAGCTGAGCCCAACGGGAAATTCATCTACCTCCTGAACGGCTACACCTGGACAGAGGATATCCCGAAAGAACCATACCTGGTATCATTGTACAAGAACGACGGGTACCCATCCATGGAACGTGCTCTTCAAAATGATGGCTTGGACCCAGTAATGCGTGCTTTCCCCGCGCAACTTGGCGAAGTCCTGGAAATAGTGATTCAGAATACGGGATCAGATGGTAATGGAATGGAGTCGCATCCATGGCATGCCCACGGAGCCCATTATTGGGATTTGGGTGCCGGGGATGGGGTTTATGATCGGGCTGCGAATGAAGCCAAGTGGAAGAATTCTACAGGAAAACCAATCAAGAGAGAGTATGTTCCTGTACCCATACTTCATTTTTGTTGAGATCCTTGAATTTGCGATCAAGAGCAATTGATAATAGAAATGACAATACTAATCTCTGAATAGCACTACGATGCTGTATGAGTATGACCGAAATGTTCAAAATGGTCAATACAGGGGTTGGAGAGCTTGGAGATTGAGAGTTGAGCAACCCGGAGTCTGGATGGTTCACTGCCATATTTTGGACCATATGGTATGGGGAATGCAAACTGTGAGTTTTCTCTTTTTACCTTTGTTGTGTATTGAGATGGACGCGACATTTGCTAATGTGCTACAGGTTTGGGTCATGGGCAACTCGACTGAGGTTCTCGGGAGGGTGCCGAGACCTGAGGTGGATGGGTATCTGAATTATGGTGGAAGTGTGAACGGGAACAAGAGTCATCCTCCTGAAGTCGTGGATTACTTTGGTACATGGATTGATCAACAGTAGAATGCAACGAAGTAGTGTAAAGATGAAATTTGGACATTGGTGAAGGGGAAAATACATGTACCTCCTCCGCAGTCCATGTCCCGCTCAGGAACGTTCAGGGTCTTTCAGGACGCGTAAAGTGGATTTTAGCAAACCATATCAAAGTACACGATTTAGTATTTTATGTAACTTCTATATAAGCCAAGAGAAACTTATATAAACTTCAGAATCTCTTGTTCGGCTATACTACCACGTGAAAGTCAAAACTGCGATCGTGAAATCCTTCTAGATCTCTATACTTGGTACGTATATACAACGACCCATGTAAATCAGGGGCTCGCCAAACGCGCAAATGGATCTTGGCGGGACGAGAACCACGAGGGAGATAGAAAATGAGTATTGTTGATGAAAGGTGATAGAATACGAAGCTTAGTACTGTAGCAGCAAAATTGCGAGAAAATCACGCATATGCAAACTGTATTGTTCAAGTTTGAGGGACTTTGGTGTGCCCTTCGGGACTAGGGAGCACAGGCTCGATGTTTGTTACTTTCTATACGTGCATTTATACCTAGCGACCTACGCAGAGAGGTATTCCTGGCTTTTCAGCAAATACACAATGTAAGTTTTCAGCTTCTCAATTGCTTAATTAGTCGAAATATATTTCCTTCATGAGATTGTTGGTTAGGTCGGTTGCATCAGTTGTGGTATGCCGGCGTGGTGGTAGCCGGCACAGACTTTGGGAAGACTCTCTTGGCCTCGTCTTATTATATGGGGCTTTTTGGGATTTGGTACTCGGAGTAGGAGGGCATATTCAGCTCATAGAAAGTAAATTTGAAACGTCCTTCAGGACAGTGGATAGTTGCGTTGTTATCAATTCACTCCATCCACACACTCCTTCTTCCTCCACAACCTCACGAGTGTACATAAACAAGTGATCTCCAAGGCTTCTAGTGCTTTTTACATTTCAGAGCTTCCTCCTATCGGCAAAATTCACCAGAGTATTCCGTACTTGAATATGGATTTCTCCGCTAATCAAAGCTATGTGCGGGGTGAAAGTGAGAAAGTGGGGTCTTGATCCCTGTCGAAAATATTCTCTCACTGATCACCTACACACATCCTATCTCAGCACTGTCTCTACAACTCTACAATAGTTACTTCATAAAATGAGGAGAACACTTTTGCTTTCTTCACTTCTAGTGACAGAAGCAGTGTGTGGAGTTGCTCAGTATTCAAATTCTTCCTTCGAATGGGATGAGATAAATTTCCTGTGAGTACGAAGGCCGAATCCAGCATTCAGTATCAAACTAGGAGAAACAATTCAGTTCTAAATTTACTTCATCAGGCTTGCATTTTGAGACAGTTACACGTATGTACAAGGAACACACGGACGCCAGAATTTCTCCTTCATCGGGGATTCTTTCGACTTCTCATACACACCAAACGAGCTTCTCGAGAACGAAATCGTCCAAAATCAGGTTAGTGAAAGTGTCTTAAAAATTGTATTTCCAAAACTGATTCTCGTCTTTACTAGCTTGGGACGTCCGCCGGAGGACCAAACTGGGTGGAATATCTGACCAACTGCTTCTCGAGATTACCATCAAAATGTAAAAAGCAACTGTGGGATTTCGCATTTGCTGGCGCGGATGTTGATACCATCTAGTAAGCTCCATACCTTTTTATTTTACACTTCAAAATTAACGAGATATAGTACTCCTCTCCATCATAACTACACTGTTCCATTCGTTGATCCAATCCGACAGTGGGCAACTTACGCGGAGCCAATTCTCCCAGTTGATCACAGTAAAGCTCTCGTAGCCGTCTTCATAGGAATAAACGATATAAACGATTTGACCAAAGTCACGTTTCCACTAGGAAATACGACGGATTTTCCTTCTCTCTATAGAGAAGTTGTAAGTTCGGAATTTCGCGCTTTGGAGAGGGTATGTGAGGCTGGGTATCGAAACTATCTATTCATGAACCTACCACCACTGGATAGAAACGTACGATCCCCTTTCCTCCTAAGCCTAGATGCTTTTCGTGCTACTATCCTTAATAGCCAGCAAATACAGCAAAAGGCCCCTCAGCCGTTCTCCCAAACGCAACAATGCTCCACCAATTCAACAGACAGATTTCCACCTCAGCAAGCGAATTCCAGACCAAGCATCCAGATTCCAAGACTATGGTTTTTGACACCTATGGGTACTTGAGTGGGATTTTGGATCATCCGGCCGAGTTTGGTATCACGAATACCACGAACTTTTGTCCGCGATATGATGCCCCTGATATTGCGACAGATTATGCGAAGTATGGGTGTCAGCCGCTAAGGGAGTACTTTTGGTATAATAGTGGGCATATCACTTCGAGGATTCATGAGTTGATGGCTGGGGATGTGGATGAGTTTTTGAGGGAGGAGAGTGGGGCTTGTTATTAGCGAAGCTGTTTAGATAATGTCTAAACAAAATCGGGTTAGATCTTGTTCTTGTTGTTTTCATGCAGCGTTAGAATTGAGTTGAGTTGAGGTGAGTTGAATAGTGGCACCTACTCAACTCAACTAGAGCGGATTTTAGACCTACTTAACTTAACTAGCCAAGTAATCGAGTTGAGTTGAGTACTACTTAAGTAGTACCGAATAGCCCGATCGCTCAGATTTAGCTAGCACTTCTAAGCGGCGTATTAAAGGAGCGTGTAAGAGTGAGATATCTAGCGACAAGTATATCTAGCGATCGGGTATTTAGCTAGGGGGCTAATATTATTACACAGAATAGGAATATGTAGTCTTTCGAAAGAGAACCTTTAGGTAGTAACAAGCTTCAAAAGCTAGGACTTACTATTAGAATAAACTACTCGAGTAATACTCGAGTACTTAAATCTACTACTTACACTTAACTTAGCTTAACTTAGAGTGACTGAGGAGTTTGTTACAACGCTGTTTACATGTGATTAGCCTAAATCTCACAAGATAGTTGTCTTAAATGTTTCAAAACTTCCAGGTACTGTATATAATTTTATCGTCGAAGGAATAGGCGTAATTAGGTAATTTGGACTAACTTGCGATAATGGAAGATCAACTTACTACCGCTTCGTCCACCAGCAGCCTAACCAGGTGGTATTGTACCCAAAGCGTGCGCACTAAACTGTTTGGCCAAAGTATGTCTTACCTAAGATCTTACATGTAATACTATATATTATATATACGAGTACTCGTATAGTATTACATGTCAGGCACCCCCTGATGTCAGCCAGCCATCAACGCCACCATCTACTGCACATGGTCAGGTTATAACTTCAAATTCTAATCACATCGACAATAATAATAATGATCGTGACGGTAATTCAATTCCTGACAGTGTCCGTCCTCTCGCTTGCGGTCTATCGCCGTTTGCTCCACCCACTGGCCGCCTACCCTGGTCCATTTCTGGCCAGCATCAGCAATGTCTGGAAATTCTACCACTACATGAAGGGCAACCTACACGTCGTCGAGCAGCATCTCCACCATCAATACGGCCCCATCCTTCGCACCGGCCCCAACACGCTCTCCTTCTCTGACCCCGCCGCCTTTGAATCCATCTACGGCTTCAATCATGGCTTCGAAAAGGGGGAATTCTATGCCTTCGCCCGTGATGCCACTACCGGTGCATCCAACACATTCTCCGCTAGAACTCACGCCGAACATCGTGAGCTGCGCCGCCAAGTTGTCGGTGCCGCCCTCACCTCCTCACATGTCCACAGTCCTTGGGAAAGGGCTAGAGCGGCTTCTTGCGAAAAAGATGTCCTGGCTTGCAATCACATACAAGGTGTTAGCAAGCCAACAGTTTGGAGCTCTTCCACTTCGGTCCTCAGTGGACCTAACAACATGCCTTACCCACGACGTAGAACAAGCCCTAAACAACAACCTCAAAGCCTCTCTTCTAACAGCAGATGTTAAGGGGGCTTTCGACGGACTACTACCAGGCAGGCTTTGCGCGAAGGCTTCGCGAGCAGGGCTGGCCAGACAATCTTGTCCGCTGGGTACAGTCCTTCACAACGAATAGAGCTGTCCAAATACGCCTAGACGGCGAGACAGGCCCGCTCACAAGCGTCACATGCGGCCTCCCTCAAGGCTCGCCTATCTCACCAATCCTCTTTATGCTATATATAGCGCCTGTATTTTGGCTAGGCCGCCCGCTACGTAGGTTCGGCTATGCAGACGACATTGCACTCCTAGCAATCTCTCAGAGCACAAAGGACAACTGTATATCTCTTCAGCAAGACCTCCAAGAGATCCTCGACTGGGGAGAGGCGGAGGGCATCACCTTTGACCCTAAGAAGTCAGAGCTTATCCACTTCTCCCGGGGCCGAAGGCCTATAACAGTCCACAACCAGTCAGTTACCTCTCGCTCTCACCATGTACAGCCTGCCACAACGCTCAGGTGGCTAGGAGTGTTCTACGACCGCAAGCTTGACTTTAAAAGCCATGTCAAGACCCTAGCACAAAAGGCATTAGTAGTAGGCAACGCCCTAAAATCACTTGGCAAGACAACTCGAGGGGTACCTCCTATACTCCTACAGCGAGCCGTTACAGCGTGTGTTCTCAAGAAGGGCTATTTCGCTGCTGAGACCTGGTGGCCTGGCCGCTACCGCACTAGCAATAATAGAAGGACGTCAAACCGTGTCAACTCACACATCCAGCTCCTCGAGAAAGTAGTATATAGCGGAGCAAGAGCCATTCTCCCAGTATACCGGACAACCCAGCTTGCAGCATTGCTCAAAGAAGCTCATATCCCCCCGCCCGAAATCGCACTTAATCAGGCGACACAGGCCTTCGCAGCCCGGACAGCTAGTCTTGACCCACGTCACCCTCTCCAAAAGCGAGCCACAAAAGTAATTCAGCTAGGCAGGCCGACATCCCGATTCGCTAGAGCTATCCTAGCCCTCCCAGCGCATGAGATAGTCAACTCTATTGCCCTCCCTCCCTGGCGGATGCGAGAGCCGAATGATATAGCTGAGGCAAGAGTTTACGGCCCTCTTGGTCGGACGAAAGAGCAGGCAGCGGAGGACTTTGAGGAGTTCCTGCCATCTATCCCGCTAGGAGACATACAAGTGTTCTCAGACGGCTCAAAGCAAGAGGCCAAGGACGGAGCAGCTGGCGGTGGCTTTGTAACCTATCAGGGTGGCCAACAGACTAGCTACAAGGCCTTCCCACTAGGCTGCAACGTAGAGGTCTACGACTCTGAGGCTATTGCAGCCCTCCGAGGAGCACAAGCAGCCCTTGCTGCCCCATCCGCAAGGTTCTCAACTAACCTCTGGGTGTTCCTTGACAACCTTGAAGTAGCCAAGCGACTCCTAGGCGACACTATCAGCTCATCACAATGGGCCTTTGACGAATTCAAAGAAGTAGCCCGTCAGTGGCCTCTTCGTACAAAACTAGCACACCTTCCAACCGGGGAACTCAAGGTCCGGTGGGTCCCAGGGCATGTGAATGTGCCTGGCAACGAGGCCGCTGACAGGGCCGCAAAGGAGGGTGCTAGCCTACTAGCCTCTCAGGACAGCATCTGTTCTCTAGCGTCCCTAAAGCGGCTAGCAAAAACAGAGGCGACTAGAGCAACCGCTAAACTCTGGTATACTACAGCCCCGCAACACTACCTTGACCTAATGGTCCCGTACGAAAAGAACAAAGACCTACTCTCAATAAACCGCGGAGCACTTGGACGAATCCTTGCAGCCCGTTCCCAGCACGGAGACTTTGCAGACTACCATACACGGTTCCACCACGAGGACGCTCTCTTAACCTGCTCTTGCGGAAGAAGAAAATCCCCGCTTCACTTCTACTTCTGCCTACTATTAAACTGTAAGAAGCTACACAAAGGACGCCCATCAATCGCAATCCCTTGGCTACTTGGAACTACCCAGGGCTCTATCAAACTAGCAAAGTGGTTTACAGACTCCAAGTTCTACCAAGAAGTGTGTATATCACATACACAAAGCTCTCCTACCTTATAAGGGAGCCCTCAAAAGTCTACTAGTTTCCTTTTACTCTTCTCTTTACTATTCTCTCATTTACTTTATTCCATTATCAGAGGCGGAGGCAGCGGCGAACAGGGGCTAGGATCACAGGCTGGAGGATCATGCTGCAAAGAGGTGGCAGCACTACTGTTTTACTTCCTCAAGCGGACAAAACAACAGCTAAAGCGTACATGTAAACCCCGCTACAGCCTTTAAACTCTTATATAATCTAGCTAGCTAGACAGGAAGCCAGGGGCCTCCCCCCCCTGGCGTCTTTTGCCCCAACGGGGACTGAAGGGCACGTGACTTGCGTACGTGCCCGCCTAGACGTTAAATAGACACACACACACACACTCCTCACATGTCCACTCCTATCGGCCCATTGTCGTGAAACATGCCCAGCATTTTATTTCCAAGCTCTGCGCTGAGATTCCGACGAGCGGAGAAGGAGATGGCGTCGTCGACATCGCGAAGCCGATCCACGCGCTCACCTTCAACACTCTTGCTGAGATGATCTACGGCCCTGCTTTGTCCAGCGAGCCGTGGACCGAAACAGCCCGCGGGGCGGGAATACTTGAAGTTTTTCGAGCCCTATCCAAAGTCTCCTGGGGCTGCTCGTATATCCCGTTCCTTTCTTGGCTCATGTCAACGGGACCTATGATAAGGATGACTCGTAAGCCCACCTTCAGCGCGGCTGGCCTTCCAACAGGCATAGCCGCGCTGGTATCTCGAACACAACTTCTATTACTCGACGAACCAAATATGGTCCTAACGGCAAACCAGCCAAGTATTGCAAAGAATATGTTGACCTTGGAGAAAGGAGTGTCAAGATACAATGATTCAGACACGGTGTGGAGAGAGTGTTTCAATCTGTTGTTTGCTGGACCGGGCAGCACGGCGGCAGCTGTGACGGGAGTACTGGAGAGGTTGGGGAGCGAGGAAGGAAAAGAATGGCAGCAGAAGATACGGGATGAGCTTGGCCAGGTCAATAACCATAGTGACAGCGAGGTCCTGTCTGCCGTTATTCGCGAAAGCTTGAGATTCTCAGCCCCATTTCCAACAGCCTTCCCCAGAAAAGTTCATCTGGGCGCCGAAAAGGCTATTCCTGGGGTCAACAGGCCTCTGCCCCTTGGAACTCTTGTCAGTGCAAACAGCTGGATTGTCAGTCATGATGAAAGAACTTGGGGTCGTGATGCGGGATCATGGAAGCCCGAACGTTGGCTTCACACGGAAGACTATGCGGGGAAACGATCAATGGATGACAACCTCTTGGTCTTCAGTAAAGGACCACGCGGGTGCATCGGCAAGGACATTGCGATGACTATCGTGACAGAAGCAGTGGCAGGCGTTGTTGCCAAATGGCGAATTGAGAAGGTAGGTGAAATGGAAAGTGGTGGGTGGCTTGAGATGCAGATTGGGTGGTGTGGCATGCACTTTACAAGCATTATAGCCTGAAAGCAGTGCAGCGATTGACACTGCAATTTGGCAATTGGGTTCAGGTACGAGTACCTAAAGTTTAAGGTTATTCTCCTTTTCAGGAACCGAGCTTGGTCTGGGGAAAGCGGGGATGGCTTATAGCTAAGGATTATTATACCTGCACCTTCCTCTTCGCTGGAAAATGCAGAATCTTTTACAAATCTTGGTTCCCATTTCATCTCCACTAATTTCCACGCTACTTCATTCAAGCTTAAGCAATAGCCTAATGGGACACGACTTGCGTTTTTGAGACACGTTTTGGGAAGGAGTTAACCGACCACCGAGGCACATTTACATAATGTCCGCAATTCAGTAGATCATTGCTTGATGGCAATGCTCTATAAAGCCATGCAACAATTCGACGATTTTAGTACTCCTCCAATCTAACTTTAACCTCTTCCAAAGCATCTCTTTTCTACTTGATCATCCGATCATCATGAGGTCTTCTACCCTTACTCTGACCCTGTGCTCCCTCGCTGCTACGGCCTTTGCTCGCCCAGCAGAGTCGGTTGCCGATGTTCCAGCCTCATATGTGCCAGATCCATCGATGATACATGAGCCAGGCACCGGCTTTAATGTTCGTGCTCTTCCAACAACAGAAAACGGTCTCTCGGGCGCTTGCAAAGCCGTTACTGTCATTTTCGCACGCGGTACCGGCGAAGATGGAAATGTTGGGACCGTCGTTGGACCACAAGTGTTTGAGGCTCTTCGTGCAAGATTAGGTACATCTGCTGTCACCGTTCAAGGAGTCACCTATTCCGCTACTGTCATTGGATATCTCGAAGGAGGTGACCCAGCTGGAACCACCGAGATGTTGAGATTAATCAACCTCGCTTCCACTCAATGCTCAAGTACCAAGATTGTTTTGTCGGGTTATAGTCAGGGTGCTCAGCTTCTCCACAAAGCTGCGAGGAGTCTTTCTGCGGCTGTGACCCGTAAGGTTGCTGCTGGTAAATTTCCCAAAGACCTGAAGAATCTACAGTTCTAACTTCTTTAGTTGTCCTCTTCGGAGACCCAAATAATGGACAGGCTGTTGGAACCATCTCTAACTCTTTGGTATTGAATAACTGCCATGGTAGGTCTTTCATGAATTTCCTTTTATTTTCCGAGTATTTTTGGGCAAAAACCCTGGCTTTCCCTGAAACTGTCTTCCCAGGCTGTAAACTCCTTAAAATATGCCGAATAGCTTACAATAATTGCAATGCTAAAATGATGTCTTCAACAGTGAACGACATCATTTGCACCGGTCGTGGAGGTGCAGAAGCACATTTGACCTATGGAGAGGATGCTGAAGCAGCATCCAACTTTATTGCTGCCAGAGTTTAAGGAGAATGACTGATGATTGCATATGTTTGGATGACACGACTCACTAATGGTTTCACGCACTGTAGTTTTTAAGTCCGTTGGAGCTGAAATACATTTAACCCCTCAGTCCCTGATATGTGCCCATTCCAATTCCTCGGAAGGTTTTCCTTTCAATGTGACTTCCCTCGTTTCTCCTGGTACCAGATCAAACCCATTATCACTCAGCTCCACCCCTTGTTTCTCACTAAAAACAAATCCCTTAACGGGCTTATTGGCTGAGATCGAGACAAGAGACTGGTCCTCAGAATACTTGACCTCGACCCCACGATCGCTAAAACTAAGGTACTTGATAGGATCTGGCCACGAAATGTCAGTGGCGATATCTTGATTCTTCACGGTCAGCTTGGCTGTGATAATGAAGGGATCGGGCTTCGTGGTATCGAATACACCGCCCGATTCAACTGGCAAATCGATCTTCTTCCCACGGACAATTTCCGTTGTTCCATTCGGTTCGACAATCGTGTTTTCCTCGAGAGCTGGGAGGATTTCCTTTCCACTGCGAATAGATATGAACCTGATTACCACTTTCCCATCCATCTTTTCCTGCTCATTACTCGCAACCCAAACATCAAATTCAATATCTTCCCGCAGTGGCCGCATATCAATGTGGCCTGTATCTCTCTTCCAAAGGTCGTCCGCTGGTCTCATGGTCCAGTCATGAAACTTCCTCGTCACGCCAATGACTACCGGAGCCATTGCCCTCTTAATCGCATAATAAGCCGGCTTAGGAACGAGAAAATGATCAACCACAGCCCACGATATCGTAGGCCAACAATCATTAAACTGCCACACCAAGACTCCGCCGCATTTCCTCCCTCCCTTCTTTCCCCAGTTCCTTCGCCACGATTTGTATGCCCAACTCATTGCATCTGCCTGCATCACTTGGGAAAGATATGTGAAACTTGGAAGGTCATATCGAACCCGAAAGTTCTCGGCTACATATGAGATAAGACGACGTTCATGGCCCATTGCCTTATTCCTGAAATCCGTTGCCATCGATCCCGGGTATCTGTCTTCTTCTTTGGAAATGCACTTCTGGATCGTTTCCAAATGGGGATAACCTTCCATACCAAATTCGGAAACAAACCGACCCCCCATTTGAGGGAGAACTTGATATGGTTTCATCTCACCATGCCAGACATTCCATTGATGAACATCCCCTACTGTCTGATCGACCTTCAATACCGTGCTTGTACCGTTTCCGAAAGGAGAACTGGGGTGGTATGGGACACCATTGATTTCTTCCGATACCACTTTCGGGAGAAGATATTCATAAATATACCGAGCCGGAAAGTCAGTTTTCAGCCATGATTCTGGCTCCTTATCTTCTTTATACCGATATTCAAGTCCATATCGCTCCACTATTTGATAGTCTTCGTTATTCCCGGCCCAGATCACGATCGATGGGTGATGTCTTAATCGACGTGCGTTTTGACTAACTTCTTCTTCTACGGACTTCAGGAGTTCGGGATATGTGGGATAGTTTGCGCAGGCGAACATGAAGTCTTGCCATACCAGGATTCCGAACTCGTCGCAGGCTTCGTAGAAAGCGTGGTGTTCATAAACACCTCCACCCCAGATGCGAAGCATGATTTGATTTCCTTCCGCGGCGAGTTTAACCCAGTTTCTGTATCTTTCTGGGGAGATTTGTGTGAGAAATGAGTCGGCTGGTATCCAACATGAGCCGCCTGCGAAGATATCTACGTTGTTGATCCGGAAGTAGAACGAGGTTCCTATGGAGTCCGCTTGCTGGATGAGCTCAACTTTGCGGAAACCAAAGGTCTTTTCCAATGTGTGACCAGAGGTCGATCCAAGTGTTGCGGTGACGGTATAAAGCGATTTTGAACCATAACCACGAGGCCACCATAGCTTAACCGGAATTTCAAAGGACTGTTTGTTGAGACCACTGACGCCAAAGTTCTGACATCTCATAACAATTTCCTCCTTCTGTTCTCCGCTCCCTTTTTTCCGGAGCTCAATCACAACCTCTGCATCCTCATCTAAGCGAAAAAACACTGTCCCCTTGGCGCTCTTCAGGTCCTCGCTTAGTTCATACTCCACCCACAAATCCTCGATCCGCACCTCATAAGTCTCCAAAAAAATCGGCTTCCAAATTCCACAACCCAACAGACGGGGTCCCCAGTCCCAGCCCCAGTGATATTGAGCTTTTCTCACCGGCGCGCGCGACATGTCTGTTTGATGCACGATGAATTTGTGCTCAGGGTGTTCCTTGATCAATTCCATTCCTCTCTTCTTTGGTGAATCGAAGACGATTTCTAGGATATTCTCTGAACGATCGTTGTTTTTCGTGAGAATTTCGGTTACATCTACCCGATGCGACAGGAACATGTTCTCACTTGTCAAGATGAGTTGGGCGTTGAGATAAACTGAGGCATAGGTATCTAATCCTTCGAAAACCAGGACGGTTTTAAAACTTTGTGGTGTTTCAGAAGGTGAACGGAAGACGGTTCGATAAGTCCATTGTTCGTCAGTTACCCAGTGGACGGACAGTTCGTTCAGGTCGAGAAAAGGATCCGCTATCTTGTTGTTTTTCAAGAGGTCACGGTGGATTTCGGTTGGTAGAGTGTTTGCTGGAAGATATTCTGATGCCGAGTCCAAGCCTCCTTGCTTGAATGACCAGTTTGATAGGAGGGGGGTGATGGTAGGCATTTCACCGGTTTTGTCCATATTGAAGTGATATTGTGAGCCTCACTGAAGAGCAACAGTGTTGTTGCGTGGAAGTTGCAGCAGATAAGGTATTGTTGTTTTGATGAGATTCAACAAAGTTATCGGACTATTGATCACGGTTCTAAAAGTCTCATTTAACTTAGCCTGAACCCTGATTCTGGGTTAGGTATAAACACAGGTGAATCAAGAGTGGGTATGGTTGTATTATCAATAGATGACCTAGTGAAGTTACCATAAGCGGCACGAATCCATGCTACCCCACGCTGCAAGATAGCGGGGTAAAGTGTAAATATGTGGGGTAGGAAACGTTACTGTAGCACAAGGTGTGCCAATCACGTTAACTCTTATCATAAGTTGATAACTCCTGTTCACTATTTCACTAGATAGCTTATTAATAACTAACCACAGACCAGACTGCCTTTCCAAGTTGGGATCGATCTTTCATTTTACAGAACGAAGACCAGCTAACGAATATGGAAAACAAAAACATGGCGGAGAAAGGAACACACAGCGAATATGTTGGCGAGAAGAAACTGACTGAAGATGGCAGGAAGGTCATTGAGGAAGAGGAGGTGGAGGGTGTGAACACGCTGATGGCATCAATCATGGCTAAGCACAAGCCGGATCCATGGGGAAAGGGACATTTGGCACTCTATGCGCTTTCGACTATCTGCTTTCTGAGCTCGACAATGCAAGGTAGGCGATGTTATCTCCTTCGTCCTCGTCCTGACCAGCGTGAACTTCGATGAAGAAAGGAATCAAAACTCACACCATACACGCAGGATTCGACAGTTCTCTCATGGGCTCCATCAACGTCCTCGATAACTACACAAACTACTATCACTTGCCCAAGAAAGGTACAGCTTCAACTGGTATCGTGTTTTCCATCTACCAAGTTGCACAAATGTGCGCTGCGCTTTTCGTGTGGATTGCAGATTGGCGAGGTCGCAAGACGTTGATTTTCATCGGAGCTGTCGGAGTTGTCCTAGGCACAATTATAACGGCTACCGCGAAGAATCTTGAGACATTCATAGGAGGAAGGTTTTTGCTGGCCTTTTTTGCGACGCTTGCTTGCTCTGCGAGTCCCCTCTACCTCGTTGAGGTTGCGCCGCCACAATATCGAGGCACGCTTGCTGGTTTGTATAATACGTTTTATTATTTTGTAAGTATATTCCTTGCACTAACCAAATTCTGAAATCTAGAATTGATGTTCTAACTGCGTCAGGGGTCAATCCTAGCGACTACTTCGGTTTATGGCGCTCATAAACACCTTTCCCATAAACGTAATACTGATTGGCGTTTACCCCTTTGGCTACAACTGGTCTGCCCTTCCATAGTTTCCGTTGGTATACTCTGGTTTCCAGAATCGCCGCGATGGCTAGTAGGAAAGGATAGACACGAAGAAGCGCGCGCATTCGTCGTCAAATACCACGCCAACGGAGATGCAGATCATCCTATCGTCAACCTTGAGATGTCCGAAATGATCGAATCACTTGAGCGTGATCCAATTACTGAATGGCGAAACTTCTTTGATATACGAGTCTTGTTTAAGACTAAAGCAAGGAGATATAGGACGATGTTGAATTTCACATTTGCTTGGTTTGGACAATTCTCTGGAAATAAGTACAGTTTTCCTTGACAATCTGACAAGAACCCGGCTAATTTTGATAGTGTGGTCTCATACTACCTCCCGTACCTACTAGCAAACCTCGGAATCACGAGCGCCGATACCAAACTTCTTCTGAATATCATCTATGCGCTCGTAGGTTACATCTTCGCCACAGCCGGTGCAAGAATGCACGATGTGATCGGCCGACGAAAAATGCTTCTCGGTGCCACCGCTGGTCTTGTCTTAGCTCTGTCCATCACAGCAGGTACAGCAGCCGGCTATGTGAACACGGGAAGCAAGAGCTCTTCAACCACGTCCATTGCATTCATCTTCATCTTTGGAGCTATTTTCGCATTTGGATTTACCTCTATGCAACCCATTTACCCAGCTGAGGTGATGAGTAACGATATGCGAGCCAAAGGAATGGGAACCTACAAGTTGGTAGGAGGATGTGCAGGATTTATAAATACCTTCGCGGCACCTACGGCTCTCACTAATGTAAGCATACTTCCCTTTTCAATTTTCAGGCCAGATACTTGTAACAAGACTGATATACTTGGCACAGATCGGATTTTGGTTCTACGTCTTCTTCGTCTTCTGGGACGTCTTCGAGTTTACATTCATGTACTTCTTCTTCGTCGAGACGAAAGGCTTGACACTCGAAGAAATGGACGAGATCTTCGAGTCGAAGAATCCCCGGAAGGCGAGTACGAGTATTAAGAGGGCGAAAGTGCAGGTCGTGGTTGATGAGGAGGGTAATATCAGAGAGCAGATCAAGACTCTGGCTTAGTCTTTAGTCTTGCTGCAAAGGGAGTGCAAAAGGGATCTGAGCTGGGCTCAATGAATTGCGACGGATTGATAAAGAATTGATATGGGCTGAAGGGGAATTTGCTTTGCTTGCTACTGGAGAATGCTGATTTATATGTCATTTGGAAGATGGTATGTTGTGAAACTTTAGGGAAAGTCCGGAGTTCTTGTTGATCCTCTTAATTATTTTACATGTCTTGCCACAGCGTATGTAATGTTTCGTGAAGAGGAATTATTGTGATGTAACCGACTAGTATAGGGCCAAGTAACACGAAAGCTTAATGAAAGTATCAAGGTATACCAGTTTTATAAAAATGAAATAAGCTACAGGAGGATGGGATAGATGTATGGCGTGAAAAACAATCAACATTTTCACATCAGTCTAAGTATACGTATCACTGAAGTGACAAAAGAAATTTTAGGAGCAATTAGGCTACAATATTAACTCTTTCCCGCCTCATGAACATTGCAGTCACAAACCCCATCGCCGAACCTGCAACGTTTAGATAGAACATTTTCCCAACATTCAATGCAATTGCGTCGAGAACCCTTTGACGAACTTCAACAGTAAGATCTTGAATCAAACCTGTCTTGACTCCATTAATGGTAGACTGGATCAAGCTCCGCGAGGTCGTAGGGAGTATATCAGATATATCACCTGTTGCGCCCCCCAAAAACACGGAGGTCGAAATTCCAAGCGATAATGTAAAACCAGCCATCTGTGCACAAGACAAGAATGCTGTGACCTCGGGAATAGCGGATTTTGCTACTTTCAATTGTCCAATAGTATAGCCGAGTTGAATCACAGGGCCAACCCCTAGTCCCTGGATGACAGTGTATCCGCAAATGGCACCACGGGAGGAAGTGCTGTTAATTGTAGAAAGTAACCCGTTTCCCATGAGCATAAGTGAGCTAGCGCCTATGAACCAGGCCATGTAGACTGGAAATCGCGGAAGTAATGGTCCACTAACGCCTCCGCCTGCAACAGCAGTGAAGACAAATGGGAGAGTATAAACTGCGGGTTTTAACGACGAGTCGCCAAAGGTAAATTGAAAGAAAAGAGGCAGGGAATAGATTGTGACAACAATATTTGCGGTGGAAATGGCAGTCCAAGCAAATAAGCCCACCATCAGCCAGTCCCCGATGAAGTGAATGGGGAAGATTCGATCAACCGTGAGAATGTTGAAACGTTGCTGTAGACTGAACAAAGCCCATGCTACCACTGTCCCGACGTACCGGCCGATCATTTGTTTACTTTTCCAATCGTATTTGGCACCACCGAACCCGAGGACCATGACAATTGTCATGACGCCTCCTAAAAATAACAAAGCTCCCAGAAAGTCTATTCACCTGATGCGGTTCCAGAGTTTCTCAGAAGATGAAGGTAGGACAGGAGGGACAAGTCCAGATACAGGCTGGAGTCGTGAGCCCTGCAATACAGATGTTCAGGTAGAAAGCCCATCTCCATGTCGCACTCGAGTCGGCAAATGCACCGCCGACAACTGGGCCCAGAATTGTCCCCAGACTCCAAGCTATTCCGACAAAGTTCAAGTATTGGTTTCGCTCAGCAGGTGTTGTCATGGCAGTCAAAATATTAAGTGTGCCTACATAAATGCCCGAGCCACCTAGTCCAGCCACAGCTCGAGCTATGAGTAGCCCATCGATGGACTGAGCCGAAGCGATGACAACGGAGCCCACTTCGAATATCAGCAGAGCGGAGAGATAAAGCAACTTGTTGTTCACCTGCCCATAGAACTTTGCCCTGTTTAGATACGCTGTCAGAATTATAGCACATCCAAATCGTAGTGAAAATTTGGAGAGAGTTCATACCACAGAGGGTTCGCTCCCACTTCTCCCATGGGATACGATATTGATAGCCAGGCCAGTGTATCGACTCGATTTCCAAATGTCTCGATGATACTAGGTCGCACGTTGGCCATCACCGTGTTACCAAGGCATACAAGAAGGTGGCTGATAGAACAGCCAGGTTGACGATAAACCATCTAGCACCAGTCACCTTTCGTGAGACCTGACCATCTCCATATCCAGTATGGCTTTCCTGGATTGTTGCCCCGTTGTTGTTCTGGGCACTTTTCTCTTCTACTGGGAGTGACTTTGGCGCCATTTCTAAGTAGTTACCGCTGCAAGAAAGCAGGGAATCATGGTGCGGTACGAGTATTGGGGAAAGAAAACCAACAAGATGTCAACAAAGCCACATTAGCATACGTTGGTGCCAAGGGACTAGTTTATATACAGCCTACCATTCGGAGATACGGTATGCATAGGGTTCTTGCTACGAATTCGATGTTAAAAGCAAGGGTCTTCGCTGCAGTATTGACCAAATAAGATAGCTAACCAGCCGATACACTTGCACCCACCAACGAAACCTCGTGCTATAGCGTTGGAAAAACAGATTCTCTGGTATCATAGAGATGAAACCAATACCAACACACATTGTTCAAGGGTCAATGACAACTTATGGAAAAGGCCAACAAAATATAAGAAACAAGTGATGTACTTGCAAATGAGCTCCTCTAACATGAGCTTGAAGACCACCATGAGTAACGGGAGCAGCTCTTGGAGCTCCAATGTCTCAAGGTACGTCAGAACGTCCCTGTTACTGTGGTAAATCGCCTCCCAAGGCAAAGTTGGAGCTGAGAATGAAGTACCGAGTAGCGTGACCTAGTGGCTCCTATTCGCTAAAGGTCACTCGCCGTTGTGATCAACATCTTTCCGGCAGAAAACAGGTTGGAATGTTGGACTTATCCTCCGATCCCTCACACGTAGAAGTTTACACACGTAGAAGATTTCGATGAGCGGTAGCTTCTTGTTGTCGGAGTTTTCTCCCTCCGGTCTCTACGGAGTAGCTAAGATTACATACCTGCCTAAATGGGAAGATTTGCCTCTGCGGTCCATCATGTTGGTACCAACACGCTACCAACACACGGTGAGAAATAATTGTTGGAAAATGCTACTCTGTAAAAAGCTGTTCTCTGAGTGGCCCAAAAAGTGGTCTTGCCAACTTTGTTACTCCACCGCCCTTACAATTGCCTCAGAGACGATTTGCCACCAACATTTTGACCTCTGCAGTATGTATATAAGTGTAGGTGCAATTTTAGCTACTTGCAGTCAAAATATATACATCTGCAATGCGTAGTCAGCCAACACAATCTGCGGTTGAAAGTAATTCCGCCCAAATGCACAATCGCATGCCAAGACCTTTCAAGACATCCAACCAAATCAGCTGTTGGTAATATGGTGCGATCAGTCATCCTAGGACTGCGATATCTTTTGAGCTGTCTCAATCTCACACTTATTTTGAGTCTTACAGGCGTTGTTTCTGCTACAATTCATCCTCAGGAAGAAATGAGAGTCTTTACTCAATTACCAGCGACTCTTCAGGAGGTTGATGTTATTATTGCAGGAGGTAATTTCAGCCTGTGGTACATTTGATCTCAGTATCTAATTACAATCAGGTGGAACTGCCGCGTGCGTCATTGCATCCAGAATTAGCGATGCTGATCCCCAATTGTCGATATTGGTTGTTGAGCAGGGTGGAAATAATCTAGATGACCCTACAATCGTTCATCCATTGCTCTTCCTCAGTTATCTAGCGCCTACCAGCAATGCAACCCTGTTTCATCAAGCCACCGCCGAGGAACAACTAGGAGGGCGTGAACTTGTCGTTCCGTCTGGAGGTGTTCTTGGAGGGGGCTCGTCTATTAATCTCATGATGTATAGCCGAGCTCAGCGAACGGACTTCGATAACTGGGCAACCAATGGTTGGAGTGCTGACGATATGATTCCGTATCTCAAGAAGGTCAGTTTCATATCTCAGTAAATATTTCCTGCTTAGAAATCTAGCTGACTACATTTATAGCTCGAGACGTACTCTGGACCTGGCTCGGAAACCACTCACGGCTTCAACGGCCCAGAGCAAATATCTGGTGGTACATATCGAGCGAACAGATCCACAGATCAATTCATCGAGGCAGCAGCAAAGGTTGGCTATCCGGAGATTGCGGACTTGCAGGGTCTGGATTTCAACAATGGTGTCCAGCGTGCTCAACGATTTATTAGTCCAGAGGGTAAACGACAAGATGCAGCTCACACGTACTTGCATCCCCGGCTTCAAGACGGAAAACACCCTAACCTGAATGTTCTTGTAGAGACTCAGGTTCTACGAGTCATATTTGACGGTAAGAAAGCATGTGGTATCGAAATTCGGCCCAATCCAGCGAAGCAGACCAACATCACTGGCGCCAGTAAACAAACTATCAAAGCCAAAAAGATGGTCATCGTTTCTGCTGGTGCTTTGGGAACACCCCTTATTCTTGAACGTTCAGGCGTAGGTCCCACCCCCGAAACATTATTTGAAAGCCAACCAACCGCAACGTTTCAATCTGTCTTAGCGAGCCCCAGCGTGCCCCATAACGACCCACCCCACAAAGACTGATCAAATATACTCCGTAGGGAAGCAAAATTTACTCATCCAATCACAAATATATCCACATTCGTTCAATAACACTAGGGAGAGAATATCACTTAGCTATTTCGCAGTACAAGAAGTTTGGGCTTGAGGGGGGGTCTACGTGTCACACTCATTCGATATCATCTTGGGAGGGAATGTCACTTGGCTATCTCGCAGTACAAGAAGTTTGGGCTTGAGGGGAAGTCTACTTTACGTGTCACACTCGTTCGATATCATCATGGGAGGGAATATCACTTGGCTATTTCGCAGTACAAGAAGTTTGGGCTTGAGGGGAGGTCTACGTGTCACACTCGTTCGATATCATCTTGGGAGGGAATGTCACCTGGCCATTTCGAAGTATAAGAAGTTTGAGCTTGGACAATATGGATGTAGTTTAGGCCTATCTTAGTTGATTAGGATGCGGAAGTTCCCCAGATTTAATCAATTTATCTAACTCTGCCTTGTCGTCCCATTTATCATAACATTCGATATACTCCTCAGGAAGAAACTTCGCTATTGCATCGGCTAGTTTATCGCCACGCTCACGGTAGGCTTTCCAGTCTAGAGATCCGGGCCATCTTTCCATTCCTGGTGGGAAGTAACCAGCATATTCCCAATCAAATAAGACTATAGGTTGAAGAGTTTCTGGGTTCATCATGATATTGTGAGCCCCGAGGTCGCCGTGTTGAAAAACATATGAGGACTTCTCTAGAGGGAGAGTCTTCCAACTTTCTTTGCCTTTCCACGGAGGCTCAGTGTCAGGGCTAAGCCACTGGGGGTGCATAACAAATCCGTCGATGCCTCGTTCTTGAGATGTTAATTTCGCCAGCTCGGGAAAAACAGTCTTTTCGATGAACTGGAGAGCATTCAAGTAAGCCTGGTTTAAACATGTTTCACATGGGGTACTGTCTGTGTGCTTTTGTCCCGTTGCCATTGAACAACCTCGGTGTAGAAATTCTTTTAGACGAACGCCCGATATAAACTCTGTGACCAAATACCGCCGACCATCCGAATATTCTCCGTAATCAAGTAGTTTTGGCACAGGAATCTTTGTTTGAGAGACTAACTCCAAGGCTTTGGCTTCATTCGTAATGCGCTCATGATTCCTAAGTAGCTATGGTTATTATTGTATACTGTTTTTTCACCTGCTAAAAAAAACCCAAGTCTTTCTTACCATGATCTAAACCATATAAAAGGGGTGCCGTCAGGAAATGGATCATTAACGGGAAGTCGCGAGGTTTTTATAAATTCGGTAGCGGTGAATTCGTATCTTGTATTGTTCGATTCATAGAATGTAAGGACCGGGTTCGCTATAATATCTTTAGCACCAAGTTTGAGGCAATAGGAATGTATTGAGCTGAAGCTAGACCATAGAAAAGCTTACCAGTTTGTGGCCCCATATTACAAAAGTGGTCTTCTGCAAGCTCGGCAGCTGTAGCTCTAGCTGTTTTCTTTCCGGCAAATGTCGCTGAAGGACTGCCGCTCTGATAGGAAGTAATCGTGTCTACTATTACATTAGCCAAGTAACTGTACACACGAGCGCCCTAGACATACCGAATCTTGTGTTTGTAGTGATGCCAGAGATGGAATTTTAGAGCTGGCGCTGACGATCTTTGTAAAGAATCTGTGAGATAGATGTCAAGATCTTCTCCCCGGTCAGACGAGGTGTTGGCGGTGAACAGGTAAAGCTTTCGGGAGGTGTACAAGTACTACTGTGCACTTGTAGCGGAAAATACCCCGCCAATGGAATAGACTTATTCCGTTCCGAGATCCAGCTTATCTACGAGATGGGGACGCTAGTCTAGTTTCCTCCTAGCGCCCAAAATGGATCAGCCTTTGCCGAAAACCCCACATTCTCCAAAGAACCTTTTTGTTCATTCCGAAGGCATACTACCAGTTTTACTAGGGCAGCAATAATGATGATACTCCCTGATTCCTATATACGACCTGGTGCAAGATGTGTAATATGTACTGTGCCCTTTAATGAACAAGAACAAGTTGCATTAGGTACCAATTTTTCGACTCCCTTCAACAGAATAAAACTGAACATACCCTAGTTACTAACACTGATGATGGCCGCTATGAATGGACTGGGACATTTGAATTCCCTGCTGCCACAAAGCCCCAGAAGTGTACAGTGTACGATGGCCAACAGCGGAAGGAAAGGAGATTATGTTATAATCCTTTTCAATGCTCCAACGGTTCAACATTTCACTTGGATTGCTTTGATGCTTCAAAGCATCCTGATACCTGCACTAGCGGACACCTGCGATATGTCTGGATATTTAGCTTATGGGCCAGACCTTGGAAAACAGCACCATCATTAGACGACTTTGAGGCTACCCAGCCTATTCCATATGAACCGACTGCGGATGAAATCAAGTGTGAGGGCGATCTCTTGCGGATGTTGCGTAAGTTCCCCCGAGAAATCATGCAAGAAATCATGAAAATGGCCTATGGCTTGCTCTTGTGGAGAATCTTTGCGGCCCGAAAATGGGGGGAGCGGCTGAGCGGCCTAACTGGTGATCAAGTCACACTCCCGATAACTGATATAACGTATTGGAAACGAAATCAATTAGAGGAGTCGGCAGATTTTGTGCGCAGGTCAGCCATCCAGACAGAAGACACACTTACTATCGCTATTGATAATCTTGGTATACGATCTCTAGAAGTGTTGGATTCTTGGCCGTCTGCGATATCTCATCAAGCCAAACGCCATGAAGTCTATGTTGTCGAGAAGATTTCCAACTTTCATAATAGGCTAATGTTAGAAAAGAAGGTATGTCAATTCATTGTTTATTATTTACGAGACTTATTATGTAATAGGGAGATTATATCCGTATCCAGAATATGGACGAGCCTCTTCGACTCTGGGATACTCCAGCCCCTCCATCTTTGCATTCCTGTCAATTCAAGGACAAGGAAACATCTCCGCTGCGACTTGGAACCATCAAGTTAGATACCTCTCTTCGTGGCCTCTCTGTCTTCTGCTGCGACCGTTCTACCTATGGCATTTATCCTCATTACACTGATGATCTATCTTCCGTTCTTGATATTTTCAATCAAATTCCGTTAAGACGACGAAACACTCTTATCTGGCTTTTTTGTCCACTTGCCCAGCAGCAAATTAGGGATGTTTGGCTACGACATGATTCCATACCTATCTTTTCCACTCCGGCTCTCGTGGTAGTTTATATGCCTCCTTTCCTAGAATGCCTTTAACAATTGTATAGGTGAGGACAACTCGAGACCAGATATACACCTTTGGTCCATATGAGACTTCAGGCTGTAGGTTCCAATACCTTGGCAGCACACCCTCTCATATTGTCTTTGAGAATGCCCCACTAGGAGGAGAACTTCCAGCCTTTGGGATTGCAACAGAGATATCTCTAGAGCCCTGCGAATCACCTCAAACTTATCACACACCTAGCCCTCCTTCGGAAATGGAGGGGTTATATTGTTGTAGCGCACTCTTAAACGGGGTACAATGCGCCACAGGTTATTATATGGAAAGCAAAGGAAGCAGCTATTGCGTAGGGATAATGATCAATTATTCAAATGGCCTTCAGCAACCTTTGGGCCAATGCAGACTGGATGCATCTAGACACAAGGTTAACAATCCATTTGGCTTTCATCACCTGTCAGATATCGTTTTTAGATCACGAAAAGAAATTCGCAGGGCGAGGGTCTGTTTGTCTACAACCCTACAAGAGTACCAAGATCTTGCAAAGTCTGGCTGGGAAAGTACAGAGATGAATGATGAATTCAAACTCACATGGCTCTCTTGGTGGCATAAAGACACCTATACCTTTTGCGATATTAGCCATGTGGAAGCACAAATACAGTAGATAATTTAATATCATAACCTAGATCCAGCTCAATGTCACAACTTTAGTTAGACATTCGCACTGCACGGCGTTATCGTGGAAGCCCTATTTAAGGGTTGGAATAAGTGAATGTAAATCAAAATAATATTCATAGATTGTAACACTATAGGAACAAAACAAAACGAAACAAACAAAGCAAGCAAATTCAAGGTAAAAAAGAGCCCTTATATCCTCGCACTCCATCTTTAGCCTTACTCTTTCCTATAGTAAGTTGCTCCATGCTTCTTCCTCCATTTATGAGTTTTCGATTCACTATAATGTCTTGTTCCTTCCTTTTTCCAAGCTGCACTATCTGCCTTCAGATCAGCAAACATTGAAGTTCTCTCCTTTCCCTGAATTAATTTTTTAGACTCAAAATAATACCCATTGTCACCGTCATCATTTTTTCGTTGCTCTAGGAAAGAAACAGGAAGATATAT